GGGGTGAGAGGAGGTGAGAACTGGTGAATTCTGAAGAAATGAAGAAAGAAGAAGAAGAAGCATAGGATCCACACACACACATTTCCGAAACAATAGGAAAACAACAACGAAAAAAACCAACATTTTCGAGTCGAGTAAGCGAGGCACAAGCTCATCAAAAGTTTCAATTCGTATTCGAAGTTATTTTAAGAACGAACGACTGACTGGTCGTACTGGTTTTAAATTTCATAGAATTTTTTTTTTTATATTCTCACTGTCAATATTTTATTCTAATTTTAATTTTACAGTGGGGAGCAAAAGTGGGTTTAATATCAAAACTAACTTTAGGTGAAATTGTTCAATATAATTAGAATCGTTAAACTTTTTTTAAATTAGCATTCAAAAAAGATGGAATGTCCTAAAAAGTATGGAAATCCCTTGTAATATGCTTGGAAACATTTCATTTTATTTTGGCTAAATGGCTTATTTTTTAGTTTGGTTGCATTGTTACTCTCAGTAGTTTTTTTTTTTTTTTTGTAATTTATGTTCAAATTAAATTACATTTCCCTATCATTTAAAAAGCTGAACATTTTCAAAACACTTTGGCCACATTTAGTATTAAACCTTTTTCCCTCTGAAATCCCAGGCTATCATCATAAATCAGCTATTGGCTTGCTTTTTATTCGTTTTTCGTATTGTTTGTCGTTTATCGAGTACATCGAAAAAGAACATCAGAATGTGCATTGGATTAAAATACCTCAGCAGCAGCAGCACACTTTTGCAATGCATGAATGTATCAAATTGAGCTATCATGTTGACAACGATCACACGATGGCTACATGGCACAAATATTTTTTTTTTTTGGTTTGGTTTGGTTTGTCTGGGGACAGGTGAGTTGGAAGAAATGCAAATAAAAAACCAGTAAAGAAAGTCGGGCGGGGCCGATTTTACGATACCCTACACCACTTTGCTGATTTGGTTGAGCTTCACGCTATGATTGTAATTATAATTTAAAATTCAAAGGACTAAATATGCCGAAGCATTTGCATCTTTCAAATTCGGACTTGCATTGCCCATTTGGTGCAAAATTAATTTGGAATCAGATAAAGATATATATAGGAGCTATATCCAAATCTGAACCGATCTCGATGAAATTTGGCAAAGATATTTCTGAGCTGTATTTGATATATTTCCCTGAATATCGTTGTTACGGAGTGCATATTACGTCTGTGGGTAACAAATACAAGAAATCGGATGAACAATATATATGGGAGCTATAGCAATATCTGAACCGATCTTCACCAAATTTGACATACTAGCTTCTTGACTCAATTCGGTCGTAAGTGCCAAATTCCATCCCATTTGGACAAATATTAGACGTTTGGTGCACAAAAAAGGGTAAATCGGACGAAGTTATATATGGGAGCTATATCCAAATCTGAACCGATCTCGATAAAATTTAACAAAAGTATTTCTGAGCTGCATTTTATATATTTCCCCAAATATTGTTGTTAAAGAATGCATATTACGGCTGCGGAGGACAAAAATAACAAATCGGATGAACAATATATATGGGAGCTATAGCTATATCTGAACCGATTTCGATCGAATTTGGCACACATATTTTCAGGCCTAATTTGGGTGTATATGCAAAATTTCATACAATTCGGGCTGATATTACACGTTTGGTGCACAATAAAAGGCAAATCGGACGAAGATATATATGGGAGCTATATCTAAATTTTGACCGATTATCTCCAATTTCAATAGGGTTCGTCCTTGGGCCAAACGAAATATCTTTGCAAAATTTCATCTGGATCGGGCAATAAATGCGACCTGTACTTTGTTTACAAAAATACATGGACAGACGGACGGACAGACGGACGGACGGACGGACGGACATGCAAAAATCGACTCAGAATGTGATTCTATGCAGATCATCAAAAGGAACTATGGGTCTATCTCGTTTCCTTCTGCCTGTTACAAACAAATGCACAAAGACATAATACCCTGACCACCTTGTGGTGTAGGGTATAAAAACGTATCTATATCTCTTTCAAAAACGTCAATGTGTTTACGGCGTCTTGCAGGCGCCAATGACGATCATGTTGCTACTATGTGATTCCTTGAGCAATAAAAACAACAACATTTAAGGTAATCACAGTCGTCAAAAGGCCTGAATGTTTTTAGACACACTATGCCTAAAAATTCTTTTTCAAAAAATGGTAATTTCGAAAATATAAACATGGGCGTAGTCATCCTACATTTTGGGAGATTTTCTCAATAACAGATTCTTCCATATAAAAAGGAAGAGGAAATTGAAAAATGAAGATTGTCTTCTAGGTGAATAAATTGTTTGTCGTTAAAGAAGTCAGTTTTAATGTAACTTATTCTAGAGAATATCAAAACATCTATTTCCAAATGTCAAATGACACCTAATTAGTGCTAAATATCTCATATCCTCAAGAACTTAAAAAAAAACCAAAATTGCCACCGCCAACGTCGACCGGCGGCGACTACATTAATAGAACAACAATCAAAATTGGCCATAAAATTAAAAGCCACCTTCATTACCGTTGCGCGTTTTTGTTGTTTTTGTTTATTTTTTTTTTTCGTTTTTGGCAAATTTCAAATGTGATCATCGCGCCTTTGAAATCAACAACAACAATAACAGGAATACCGATCATTTTGGTCGTACTTATTGCTTCATAAAAATACACTCGTTTCAATTTAAAATGGTAATAATTTTGGCGCCACTAATACCACGACCAACAGCCACCACACAACAACGACAAATGCTGTTACGTAAAAGAAAACAACGACAATAACAACAAAAATTCAAAACAAGTGCAACACAGAAAAAATATTTATTATTTTTTTATTTAAAGAAGAACCTGAAAACAACAACAACTAAATTGGGTGAAAAGTATCCAAGTGATTGGTTAATGGGATTGTTTGATGTCGGGGCCTGATTGTGGAAGACACCTGGTTTTGTGGGATTTTTCTTTTTCATACCCTCCACCATAGTATGGAGGGTATATTAAGTTTGTCATTCCGTTTGTCACACCTCGAAATACGCATTTTAGACCCCACAAAGTATATATATTCTTGAACGGTTTAGTGATGTCCGTCTGTGGAAATCACTCTAGATTCCGAACGAAATGAAGTAGGTTGATAAAATTTTACTCAAATGTATATTATGTCTGCAGGACTTTTGGTATTGAAAATGCAGGTCCACGTCTTCGTATAGCCCCCATATAGCGGTACCTCCCGATATTCGGTATTTTGATGATTTTAGCGGCATTATTCACCAGAATTGTTTCAAATGTGGTATTTGAAGTTAGTAATGGATACTATAGTCTAGGACAGAAAATCATCTGTCCAGGTCTACGTCTTCGTATAGCCCCGATATAACAGTATTCCTGATATCCGGTAGTTTGATGATTTTAGCGACATTATTCTTCGGAATTGTTTCAAATTTGGTATTTGAAGTTCGTAATGGTAACTACGACAGAAAATTGTCTGGGCAGGTCCATGTCTTCGTATACCCCCCATATAACGGTATCTCCCGATATTCGGTATTTTGATGATTTTTGCGACATTATTTACCGGAATTGTTTCATATTTGGTATTTGAAGTTCGTAATGGATACTACAGCCTATGACAGGAGATTTTCTGTGCAGGTCCACGTATAGCCCTCTTATAACAGTACCTCCCGATATTCGGTATTTTGATGATTTTTGCGACATTATTCACCGGAATCGTTTCATATTTGGTATTTGACGATCGAAGTGGATACTACAGCCTATGTGCAGCTCCACGTTTTCGTATCACCCTCATATAACGGCACCTCCCGATATTCGGTATTTTGATAATTTTAACGACATTATTCACCGGAATTATTTCAAATTTGGTATTTGAAGTTCGTAATGGATACTACAGCCTATGACAGGAGATTTTCTGTGCAGGTCCACGTATAGCCCTCTTATAACAGTACCTCCCGATATTCGGTATTTTGATGATTTTTGCGACATTATTCACCGGAATCGTTTCATATTTGGTATTTGACGATCGAAGTGGATACTACAGCCTATGTGCAGCTCCACGTCTTCGTATCACCCTCATATAACGGGACCTCCCAATATTCGATATTTTGATCATTTTAGCGACATTATTCACCGGAATTGTTTCAAATTTGGTATTTGAAGTTCGAACAGCCTATGAGAGAAAATTGTCTGTACAGGTCCTCGTTTTGGTGTAGCCCCCATATAATAGTACCTCCCGATATTCGGTATTTTGATGATTTTAGCTACATTATTCACCGATTTTTGTTCAAGTTTTGTATTTGAATATTGTAATGGCTCATGACAAAAGTTTCCTATGGAGGTCCACGTCGTCGTATAGATCCTAATATAACGGCCACATTCGTTATTTTTAAGATTTTAACAGAATTTTTAACCGATTTTGTTTTTTTTTTTGAACATTGTCAAAATCGTTCCAAAGATCGCCCCGGCCGAACTTACAGCCTTTTTACTTGTTTTTTCTTCAATTAAACCCACAGTACCCGAAAAGTCCAATTGAAAACAATATTTCTAAATGGTTTGGCAAATTTTATTACCTACGGCTTGCAAATTGATTATTCATCAACAGTAAAGTGCCGACTTGAAATTATTGATGGTGGTCTGGTATTAATATTTGATAGCCTAAATTTAGAGTGGTACACCTCTACCTAATCTCAAAATATTACACTTATGTGAGATTTTATTGATTCGAAATTCAAAGAGATTATTAATAATCTGAATAATCAACTTGCTCCAAGACGGCAACAACAAGAAAAAAGAAATAAAAATATGAAATTCATAACCATAAAATCTAAAGATAATTATCTCATAAACGACATATTAAGCTAAGATTAAAAACCAATATGTTAATTTTTTAATTTGAAAAAAAAAGTTATTTCTATATTTATTTTTAAACATGACTAAATATAACTCAAATCTTTTTTGTTTCACTTTTTGCAGCCAGTCGCTGTTCACCGAACTGGTGCGAGGTGGCCTACTGGGAATTGGGTCAACGGGTCGGTGAACGTTATCCCGCCGAAACACCAACCATAAATATCTATTCCGAAAAACCCTACAGCAGTGCTAATGGTGATATAGAAGGTATGTGTCTGAAGGATTTAATTGAGAAGCGTACGACACCATCGCCAAGTGATGTACAAAATACGAGACAAAAAATAGGTTTAGGTGGGTCAGATATTGTTCGTTTGCAAGCAAATGATTTTATTGATGTTTTTCTTTTTTGTTGTTTTTTCGAATAGGTGTTACTCTAAGTCAGGAGACCGATGGCGTTTGGCTATATAACCGTGCAACTGTGCCAATATTTGTATACTCACCCACCTTGACGGATAGTTTGTCTCGTGTTTATCGCGTGGAACCCGGAGACTGTCTTAGAGCCTTCGATATATACAAGTAAGTAGACAGATATTAAGAAGATCTGAAAAGTATTTTTTTTTTCTAAAAAATAATTGTAGAAGGGATGAAAGATTTTCTGTCTATAAATTTCCTGTGAAAGGTCTTCTATCGATCTATCAAGTAGATCCAAAGTCTGTTCTATTTACAGAAGACTTATAGAAGTCATTCTAAGTAAAAGAAATATAGATTTTCTATCTGTCGGTGGAAGGTATATAAGAGGTTTTTTTCTCTTGCATATATTTTAATATATGTAAGACCTGTAGAATGTCATTTATCTCCAGAAGTCCTATTGAAGACCATTTCGTATAAAAGGCCAAATGTTCTTCTTATATAAAAACCAGTAAAGAAAGTCCTAAAGTCGGGCGGGGCCTATTTTATGATACCCTACACCACTTTGCTAATTTAGTTGAGCTCCACTTAATAATTAAAAGTTTTTATGGGAGAATTCAATCATACACGCTATGATTATAATTATAATTCAAAATTCAAAGGACTAAATATGCCGAAGCATTTGTATCTTTTAAATTGGGAATTGTATTGCCCATTTGGTGCGAAATTAATTTGAAATCGGATAAAAATATATATGGGAACTATATCCAAATCTGAACCGATCTCGATAAAATTTGGCAAAGATATTTCTGAGCTGTATTTGATATATTTCCCTGAATATCGTTGTTACGGAGTGCATATTACGGCTGTGGGTAACAAATACAATAAATCGGATGAACAATATATATGGGAGCTATAACTATATCTGAACCGAACTTCACCAAATTTGGAATACTACCTTCTAGACTAAATTCGGTCGTATGTGCCAAATTCCATCCCATTTGGACAAATATTAGACGTTTGGTGCACAATAAATGGTAAATCGGACGAAGTTATATAGGGGAGCTATATCCAAATCTGAACCGATCTCGATAAAATTTAGCAAATGTATTTCTGAGCTGCATTTGATATATTTCCCCAAATATTGTTGTTACAGAGTGCATATTACGGCTGCGGAGGACAAAAATAACAAATCGGATGAACAATATATATGGGAGCTATAGCTATATCTGAACCGATTTCGATAGAATTTGGCATATTTATTTTCAGGCCTAATTTGGTTGTATGTGCAAAATTCCATACTATTCGGGCTGATATTACACGTTTGGTGCACAATAAAAGGCAAATCGGACGAAGATATATATGGGAGCTATATCTAAATTTTTACCGATTATCTCAATAGGGTTCGTCCTTGGGCCAAACAAATGTTGTTTGCAAAATTTCATCTCAATCGGATAATAAATGCGACCTGCATTTTGTTCACAAGAATACATGGACAGACGGACGGACGGACGGACAGACGGACTGACATGCATAAATCAACTCAGAAAGTGATTCTATGCAGATCATCAAAAGGAACTATGGGTCTATCTCGTTTCCTTTTGCCTGTTACAAACATATGCACAAAAACATATTACCCTGACCACCTTGTATAAAAAATCGAATATGGTCTTATCATAGAAGGTCCATAAAGGAATCCTTTCTTCCTTCTGTACTTTCAGATAAAAGAATTATGGATAGAATATAAATTTTCTACAGGCAGACGTCCTTTAGGTTTTTATGTCGATCATATTCTAGGCATTTATAAAGCACCCCATTCTGAGCGTTTATAATTGTGGGTCTCAAAATTCCCTTGTACGCTTTTAAATTTCTTCCACTCGGGTGTCTTATAGTAGACTTTTATAAAGACCTAAGTGTCTATAAGGGCTCCTTATGGACGTCGAAAACAACTCATTTCTGGGTGTCTATAAATACATATTTCTAATAATTTATAAAACGTTTTTTTGGGAGCCTATAAAGGTCCTCTTCAGAAACCCCCTTCCGTGCGTTAATAAAGTCCTGATCTGGGAGTCTACAAACAATCCCTTTGTGGCGTCAGTAATGACATCGTTTTGGTTGTTTTCAATTACCTATTCTTGGTTTCTAAGGATATATACATAGACCTTCAAAAATTGTTCAATCTATGGAAGACTTATAGAAACTCTTGCGTCGATATATCCATTGGTGGCCATCTGTCCCTTCACAAGTTATTTTCTCTATAGAAGACCTATGATAAGCTCTTTGTCTAAAGAAGACATATAAAACTAATTCTGTCTCTAGAAGACACACATAAGATGTGCTATATATAAAAGTGTTCTACAATGTCTTAAATGGTCAGAAGACCTACAGAGAGCCATATAAAATTTTTCTATCGAATATCTATATCTATGATGAAGTCCTACAATGAGTCTTCTATATACAGACTTCTAGAAAATCTTTCATCTATAGAGGATTTATTCTAGACCAAAAGAATGTCTACTATTTTTACAAGCCATATAATATGTTCTAGCTATAGGTGACCCATAGAACGTCTTCTATTTTCGTAAAACCCAAAAAAACTCCTGTAGGATGTCTCCGGTCTATAAAAGGTCTATAAATGGCCGTAGAAGAGCTACAGAGAATATTTAATCTTTAGAAGACTTTCCGATGGTGGAAGACCTCTAAAAGATCTGCTATATATATGAAACCTTCTATATACAAAGTCCTCTATATATAGAAATCTTATGTATATGTATGTATATTCCATCTATTGATGATACTTAGAGGTTCCTCCCTTATTGCTCTTATTTTAACCTATAGAATATATTCTATGTTTAGATCTTAAAAAGGTTTTCTATGTATGTGTGACCTTCATATAGTAGACCCATTGAAAGTATTCCATTTATAGAAGCTCTATAAAAGGTCTTTTAAATATAGCAGTCTTATTAGATCTTTGTTCTATCTATGTAAGTCCTTTATGAGATATTATATCTCTCGAAGAGCTTTATTTAATAATCTCCCATATATAGAAAGTCTATCCATAAGGGTCCTCTGGAGTGTCTTCTCTCTAGAGAAAACTCAAAAAGTCTTTCAATTGCTATTGGCCGACCGATGGATGACATTTTATCTCCAATCTATCCAGATAGGTCCTATGGCGGTTTTCTGTTCATATAGGACCCAAAAGAAAGTTTTTCATTTTCATAGACCTAATGATATATTATAGATATAGGGGACCTGTAGAAGTTGTTTTATCTATAGATGGTCTACAGAACACCTTTCATCTCTCATAGAATTTAAGGACATCTTTCATCTATATCTGGTCTATAAAATTTCCTCTCTATTCCTCTTTGTTAATAAACTCTTTTTCCTCCATTTTTTAATTTCAGGGCCCACACTCTCGTCTATTCCGATCAATTTCCAGGCGTTCAAACCGGACCCATTGATAAATTTAGCATGCGCATTAGTTTCGGCAAAGGTTGGGGTTTTTCCTATAAACGGCCGGATATAACGCGATGTCCATGCTGGTTGGAGGTACTCTTTCGGCCACAACGGTGACAACAATTCGTCGCATCAATGATAAATGGTAATGAAATTCTTGTTAAAATGCAACGGCAACAAAAGCCATTGGACTCGTCTACGGCAATGTTGATGAAAGTGGCAGCTCCACCAATGTCGGAATCCAAAAGCGGCGATCGACAACGGATGCAAATGTCTGCCGCCAGAATGAAAGCAAATATTGGCAACAATGATAAAAACTTGAACTGCAAGAACAATAAAAACATGAAATGGTCATGTCCTTTTAATGGCCACGGGCATTCCTTATCCAGCAACTACTCTTCGTCGTTGGCGTCCACCCCCTCCAACTCCTCCAGCACCACTTGTGCATCATGCAGCTGTCGGCTGATGATGACCCTAGTCAGACTGATCAAAAGTTTACTCAACCATAGTCTGGTGGCAAAGTAAAATCTTGGCCATGAAACACAACGTTTTTTTTTTTAATCAGACTCCTTTGATTTGTGTTTCTCGGAGTGGGAACAACAATAACAGCAAAGTCAAACAGCAACAACAACATCAACTACTTTAACCACAAAAAAGTATATAATCAAGTACGAAGCGACATGAAATCTTAGTGAACTTATTAATAACAACAACAACAAATTGAAACAAAAATAACTCAAGGACTGCAAAAATAAATATTCTATATTGTAAATTTAAATGGAAACAAAATAATATTAAATGACCTAAATATATATTATTTTTTGTAATACAACAACAACTACTATAAACAAAACGGAAGAAACATAAATACAGCTAGGCAGACATATATGATTGATACAATAATTAAAGAATACGAATTGTACGAATTGTATATATGAAATAAATATCAACATCTTCAATATATGTCTGATTTAACAGCAGATTTTTTTCTGCCATTTAAAAACAAAAAAATAAATAAAAAAAAAAACGGTCAAACTGTTGCAAACTGGAAATCCTGTGATCCGCTTAAAATTAAAATATGGAAATTAAAAAAAAAAATAATAATATATTTTCAAAATTATATGTAAACTAATTCATTAAATGTAAATTAATGAAAAGAAAAGAGAAAAAGAGAGAAACACAAACTTTAGAAATTCCCCTGAAAAGAAAGAGAGTTTTTGAATCTGTCCTGCGTGAATGTAAAAGAAAATAATGTTTATATCTGAATTATATTTTACATACGAATACGTTTTTAATCATGGCACAATAAGAAGGTAAAGCAATTCGTAAACCTATCTTCGTAAATTTCTCCAACATTTACATTTTTTTTTGTATTATTTATTTTTATTTTAAACATTCAAAGAAAGAAATTGTCAATGGTAGAATTGTTCAACTTTGAAATTTCGCACGTCCGACGTATTTGGGTAACTTACATATAACTAACTACATGTGTTTTACTTGTGTGGTGAAAAACTTCGACTGAATTTTAGGTAACACTTTTATAAGTTCTGCAGTTGAAAATTATTTTATTTCAAATTTCCCATGGTAGGTAACCTTATTTCAAATAAATATATTCAGCTCTGCAATTTCTGTAATTTACCTTGTCAAATGATTATGATTATACATTTTGACAATGAGATACTGTTACCTTCTTTATTCTACAATGCTAATTTTCATGAAACAAGAATTGAGCCTGTGTAGTGTAATTCTCTAACTAACGATATTTATCGAAAAAAACAATTTTTAATTTTTGTATAATTTTGGTAATAACGAAATTCGCCGGTAATTAAACGATCAAAATAAAGTAGTCGCTTAGCCCTACTAATAGGAGGCAATTTCTTAACTTTTATTTCACTTTTTATATAAACATTTTGCTTTCGAAAATTATTGAATTTTTTCGGTATTGGCAAAAATAGTTGGAGATTCCCACTACAGGTCTGTTTTATGGATTTCCTTCAAATTTATGATTTAAATAAAATAGAAACTTTTCACATTAAGTTTTCTCGGTTTTAACAACTGGCCGTATGTATTTAAATTACATTGCAACTTTCATAAAATATCCTTAAGAACAGATTCTAAAACTCTTTTCGTTTTTTTTATGGTCTAAACAGGCGTATTGATAATATCCTTTTAAAACAATATTATTTAGACTGCACTTGAATATCTGCAAAGCTTTACACAATTAGATTATAACATTTTATATTAGAAAACCAAATTCCAATTAGAAAAATAAGAATATTTGAGTGTTCTGTAGGGATAAATGACGTTTTGTGTTGAGTAAAAAAACGACAACGACAAAAGTGTTTGTGACAATTCTGCTGGACAGAATAACAATACTGAGAAAAGAAATACATTTTTAAGTTATTACAATATTTGGGTTTTAAATAAAATATATTTTCAATTTAATAATAAATATTTTACATATGATTCAATATTGATCAATACCCCATAATAATAATAATATTTTCAATACCCCATGAAAAATATTGAAATATTGAAAATCTCTAATAGTTGTCATGATAGAATTAACAGAGTAATATAATGTATTTTTTTTTTTTTTTTTCAAATTATACATTTTACAATATAGCATTCATAAATCCATTGTTTGTACACAATTTTTTTTTGCACAAATTTTTTTTGTACATACAAAGTTTACCAGTGGGCAGGTTAATTTCGCCATATCGGTCCACGTTTTCGTATAGCCCCCATATAACAGTACCCCCCGATATTCGGTATTTTTATGATTTTAGCGACATTATTTGCCGGAATTATTTCGAATTCCATATTTGAAGTTCGTAATGGGTGCTACAGCCTATGACAAAAATGTTTGTATGTAGGTCCAAGTCTTCGTATAGCCCTCATATAACGGTACCTCCAGATATTTCGTATTTTAATGATTTCAGCAACATTATTCACCGGAATCATTTCAAATTTCGTACAGGAAGATCCTAATGAGTACTACAACCTATAGCAAAAAATGGGTATTAAAAGTTCGGCCCGGCGGAACTTAGTTGCTTGTTTTCTCTTCGGCCTTCTCTACAAAATCCAGCACCTTCTAAGAACTCACTTTCAATTTGGGACAAAACGAAAATTCAGAATACTTTTTTTAAATAAAGTCACAATTTCATTTCACCTTACACTTTTGATTTCAAAATATCTATTTTTTACAAAATTGATAATTTTGTTATTTTTTATTTAAAATGTTTATATTTTCTTTCAAAATTGTAACAAAACTCACTTGCATTTCGATTTGAGATGAAATGCAAATATGAGATTCATATAAATAAAATCTAAAAGGACATTTTAACTGGTTTCGGCTTTATAGCCATTATGACAATGTTCTTCTTTTGTAATTTTAATTTTATCTTTGAAATATTCTGAATTTTCTATGTGCTTTCCCAAAAGTGGATTTTGTTACTAGGATACCGTGAATTTTGTTACTAGGATTTGCAAAGATCAATTATTTTTATCGTTTTAGTTATAAAAGAAAAATTATACCAAGAAAATATAATTAATTTTAAATGTTCATAAAAGAGAATCCAAACGCTGAGACAATATTAAAAAATTTTAAATGCGGTTTTTTCTCAGTGGTTTAGAAATTGGTCGATACCGCTTTATTAGGTGATGGCAAAAGCCGAATATTTATAGATTAAATTCTGTATCCACTGACAACCTAAATTGCCAAATAAAGCCAATTCCTTTGGGAGTTATGTTTGAAATCTTCAAATGTCCGAAATTTGGATTTAGTTTTCGAAAAAGAAGTAATTCGATTTTTTAACATTGTTCAAAAACCAAAGCCTTAAATATGTATTTAAACAAAATTAAATAAAACTCAGCATATTACTTAGCAAAACGTCATTTATTAACACTCATTTGTTTTTATTTTAATTTCAATCCTTTCAACCCAAAAAAAAGTTTTCTCTTTTAAAATGAAAATAATGATTTAAAAATAATCTGATATTATGTAAATAAATTTGTTTAAATCAGCAAATAATTATATATTATTTTGTTATTAATTTATTGAAAAAAAAAACACCCAACAAATTAGGTTAACCAAACAACAAGAAACCTAAAAACCCGCCATCCAAAATAGTATATAAAACAACAACAACTTAGGATATTTAAAAAAAAATAAATTAAATTTAAGAACAATTTCAAAACACGTAAACACTTTCCAACAGTTATTGACAAGCAGAAGAAAATTGCATGTAAACAAAAGTATTTGATTTCTTCATCTTTATTTTTTTTTCATTCTTTGTTTCCATCCGTCGTTTTGATTTAATCCAATGAAATCAAAATCGTTCGAAAAAAAAAAACGAAATTCCAAATTTGTATTTTATTTGTATAGTTTATTTAATGCGATAAAATAAAATAAATAATTATATAATAAAATAAAAATTTAAAACATAAATAAAGGTAAAAATCTTATGTTCGAATGTAATATAAATGTATGCTATATTGTTAAGTTTTAAGAAATTTTGTACAATAAAAACAAACAAACACTGAAAAGAGAATTTGAAATGAAATATGAAAAGTGGAAAAAACATATTTAATACACAAAAGAACAGCGTGTTTTAATGGGGGGAAGATATTCGGAAGGGTGGGAATTCATGGATGGTTCTATTACTTTTTAAAAGGTTAAACGGTAGAGATGAATCGGAGTCATACATATCGGAGATAATTGTGATCAGACAAATAACTTCAAAATAAAAAAGGACATTTTTTGGACCCAAGTCCGTTCAACATATCAGCAAAACATCCGACTGCAAGAATCGCCCTGAAAGATGTAGGAGATTATTTTGACAAATTAGAAAACAAAAAATTTGGTTTAATCTTAAAGTATGATGAATCTTATTCGATGTATAAGTAGCACTCCCCAGCCACTGCGATTAGTGAAAAGAAGCAACACTGTCCTCAATCCGCTAGCCACCATCAATAATGAAAGTACTTTGTAAATTATGAAAGTAGAGCTCGAATTATAAAACAAATGTATCGGCGTTCCCGATTTAATATTTCTTATCAAATTTCGGTATGAAACGCCAATAAAAGACATGTCCATTAGCAATATATATATCATATATGTATATATATTTATATATATATACAGGGTGAGATGAAAAAACTGCTACCAATTTCAGACTGCTGTCATTTCTAAGCCACTCGTCCGACAGCTGTTAAAATTATTCCAGTGATAGCTCATTATATTGTTTACAAGCATACAAAAGCGTTTTGGTGAGAATTCTCCAGAAAAAAAAGTTATTCGTGATGGAATTCAAGCGTGTGATAAGTGTGATTTCTTTATATTTGGATGGAAAACCACAAGTGTCGGTCGTTAGAGCACTCCAGCATTTAAATGTAAATAAATCTTTTGTGTCACGTACCATCGCTCGATACCGTGATACTGGTAGCGTAGGCCGACGTCAAGGAAATCGACGGAAGAAAAGAGCAACATCAGCAGAAATAGTTCGAAAAGTAAAGTTACGACATTTTTTCTTTCATTCAATGAAATTTAAACAAAAAATGTAAAAATTATGGCGTTTGACTTTGTTGCAATTTTTTTTATCTCAATATTGTTTTTTCCTTTTGGTTTTTAAATCAATAACCTCTTTTCTCTTATTATCTTTTATAACTGGACAATTTTGTAGACATGACATTGGGATTTCAAAATTAAAACAATCATGATGAGGTAAAAAACGAGTAAAAAAGCGGCTAAGTTGGGCCAGGCCGAACTTTTGGAAAAAACTTGAAAAATAGCAAAAAACTTCCGGAAACTACCACATAAATGAAAACTGTTAAACGGAGACTATACGAATACATGGACCTGATTACGAATTTTTTATCATAGGCTGTAGTACCCATTACGAACTTCAAATACCAAATTTGAAACAATTCCCGTGAATAATGTCGCTTCAATCACCAAAATACCGAAAATAGGGACGTACCGTTATACGAAGACGTGGACTTGCATAGGCAATTTTCTGTCTTAGACTGCAGCATCCATGACGTACTTCAAATACCAAATTTGAAACAATTCCCGTGAATAATGTCGCTAAAATCATCAAAATACCGAATATCGGGAGATACCGTTATATGGGGGCTATACGATCAAGTGGATCTGAACAGACAATTTTCTGTCTTAGGCTGTAGTATCGATTTCGAACTTCAAATACCAAATTTGAAACAATTCCGGTGAATAATGTCGCTAAAATCATCAAAATACCGAATATCGGGAGATACCGTTATATGGGGGCTATACGAAGAAGTGAATCTGAACAGACAATTTTCTGTCTTAGGCTGTAGTATCCTTTTCGAACTTCAAATACCAAATTTGAAACAATTCCGGTTAATAATGTCACTAAAATCATCAAAGTACCGAATATCAGGAGGTACCGTTGTATGGGCGCTAAACCAACACGTTGACCTACAAGACCCATTTTCAATACCAAAAGTCCTGCAGACATAATATACATTTGAGTAAAATTTTATCAACCTTCTTCATTTCGCCCGGAAGCTAGAGTGATTTCCACACACGTACAGATGTATAGACGGACGGACATTGATAAATCGACATAGATTTTTATGCTGATCAAGAACATATATACTTTGTGGAGTCTAAAATGTATATTTCGAGGTTTTACAAACGGAACGACAAACTTAATATATTCTTCATACTATGGTGGAGGCATGGCACAATAAGGAGCCCTGAGAACCTGCCCGCTTCCTGTCAGAATTATTTATAATTATAGGCAACAAGTTGTTTTCATTTATTTGATTTTTTTTTTCATTTTTAAAATGGGTCAAATAGCGCGAAAGATGAATGAAATGCCTAGATGTTCTCTCAAAAATATGATCCTGAGTATTCAATATTTCAATTCCATGCAAATCTGGTTAATATCATTAATGCGCGCCCCCAATTTAAGTTTCTTCCGATCATGGATTTTGAAAATATTTTGTTTTTGTTTTTCAAAACAACAAATACATACACAAAATTGGCAGAAGTCGAGCACTCTTAGAAGAAAATTGTAATCAGCTGGTAGCTCTACCTATAAACAAGTTAATGAGTATCAGTCCGTTTTGGCGACAGATGAATACCCTCAGTCAATGTCTGTTTGTTTACATGTACAATGCTGGTACAAATATTGTCATGTGCAAAATTTAAAGAAAATCGAACACTTATTTACAATTCCATAGGAATGATTGTTAGGCAACAAATTATCTAATTACACTTCCAAATAAAACATCAATAATTGTAGATCTTAGTATTAATGAATTATTTTTTATTTAAAACTTTCAAAATCATATTCAATTTTCTTTATTTTTTTAAATATTTTCTGCAGTGATATTAAGATTTCCAAGTGATTCCGTTTACATAATTAATTCCTGTTTTATACAAATTGCTATCAAGATTGGTTTGGTTTATTGGGTTGATCGATCATTATAAAGATTCAGTTTTTTTGAGTTGTTTTTTTTAACGTATATTGAAATTGTACGAGTATATTTTTGTTAATTTTTTGTTGTTGTTACGTGAAAATAAAATTTAATCTAAAGTATTGTTTTCTTTTGCGGATTAGAATAAAGTAAATTTTAGCTATACAAAAATTTGCTTAATTGAAAACACTGTTAATGAATAAGCACAAATAAATTATAGAAGAAGAAATTTTGAAAACAAAATAAATAGAAAAAAAAAACAACAAAATAGTTTTCGTGTAAGAAATTTACAAATCATAGTTTTTGTTTGCGTTTGTGAAAATGTTTTCATATAAATATTTTTATTTATTGCTAAAATTATTTTTTGTATGATTTTTTGTTTGTTTTTTTTTAAGAACTAAGCTTAACTAAGTGCGCAGCAGTATTTTTGCAAAAATTTATACCTTCATACACACATGCAGAGTTTCAGCAGATTAAGTGAACATTTAAAAAGAAAAAAAAATGTTAGCGAAAAACAAAAACACAAAGTTTAGATAATTTCGTGTAAATATATATGTGTTGTTTATATACTTAATGTGATCTATATTTAGGTTACGCATACAAATAATATAATAATATTTAGACTGGTATAAAATCTGTTATTTATTTGTATTTTTTTGTTTCGTTTTTTTTTATTATTTTTTGTATTATTATGAGCAGTTGGGATTTTTTAAACAAATATTCATCCATTTACTGCAATGATCCATTTATATCATTTTATTGTTAGTTTTTTTATTAAAATAAAAAAATTTAACACAAATTGTTAAATTAAAATAACATGTTTTATTTTTATATGTTTTTTTTGCCTCCGGCATTTATAGTTGACTATTTGTTACAATCATTGTTGACAATTTTCAAATCTAATTTAAATTGAATTTTTAAAGCAATAAAATAAAAACCTAAATTTAGAAACATTAAAAAACAGAAAAAAATTGAATATTTTACTTTTGGTATATTCATAATCAAACAAAATATTGGGATTTTAATTAAAAAAGGAACTCTATAGCAGAATCTAAAAAAATACGTGCTGAGTTAAATTTTGGATATCGATAGTAACACATATTCTTTCTTTTACACAATATAATTAAAATATTTTTTATATAGATTTGAAATATTTAGGGGTATATGTTCCGAATAGTATCGTTTTGCAGATCGGATTTGTGTATAAGCTGGCATTTAGCCTACATAAAATAAATATTAATATGAGTTCCGCAACTTACTGAAAACTGTACATTGTGTCATTCAACATTTGACAGAAACTTAATTATTACAAAGTATTGATTTATAATGAGCTGACCATTTTCTATAAACTTTATCTTAAAATGCTTAGGTTACATTTACCAAACTTTTACGGCAAACAAATATGCGATTAGGTAGTCAACCACATATTGCAATTAGGGGTTTGAAAGGATACGGGAAAATATCGTAAAAACGTTTTAGAAACTCTTTGAATTTAATTCAAAATCTCAAACTATTTTTCATTTGCTCTGTAGTTAACCCAACCCATGTGTCATATATCATAGGAAAACAAGAGAAGCCTATATAGGATTACCTTTTTGCTTACTTTCAGACATTACTTCACCGTAATTGGGAACTTCCGAAAAAAATAAATAAATAAAATGAAAAATAAACCCAAATATTGTATTACACATAAATCAAATGGATGGCTAACAAGACATTTAAAATAACTGAAATCAAGAGGTACCTTTTTGGTGGAGACTAAACCAAAACCTGGACTGTAATAGATTGTAATTTGTAAACAAGGGAAGCCTATATAGGATTATCTTTTTGTATGACTATGCTTGTTATTTTTTTGTATAAGCTGTCCTGCTACAAATGATAATAAACTTTCTCATGCTCGTATATTTTCTTCGAGACTTTTCAGACATTTCTTCACAATAATTGGGAATTTCAGAGAAAAATAAATAAATAAAATGAAAAATAAACCCAAATATTTAATTAAATAAATAAATCAAATGGATGGCTAAGAAGACATTTAAAATAACTGAAATCAAGCGATACCTTTTTGGTGGAAACTAAACCAAAATTGTAATTTGTAAAAAAATAAGTAAAATAAAAATTAATATGAGGAGTATAGGTAATTTTTGTTTGGAATTAAAAATTTCATCAAATCTCTTTAATGACATTTTTATTTAAAATCTCAAAACATTGTTGTATCTACTTTGTAAGAGTCCTACTTTAGTGAGACATAAGAACCAAGGAAAGGAGGGAGCTTTTTGCGGGATTGTTTGTTTGTGGTCAAGTTCTAGATTATTGTCCAGTTAAAAAACATAATTATTATTCTCATTCTCGTATATATTTTTCGGGATCTTGCTGACGTAACTTCACTCTAGTTCGGAACTTTTCCAAACTACACTAAAACCGATGAAGTCTTTAAAAACTAAAATCTTTAAAACAACCTAAACCAAGTGGTACCTTTTCAAAGTAGATGCCACCAAACGTGGAATTCTATGGACAATATTTTTGCAGGAAAATTTGCCTTCACTCCGCAAAACAAAATAATTAATAAAAACGATTGGTATTTGTAATTTTTTGCTGGGAACTAAGAAATTTTGGAGCAATATTACTAATTATCAAAACAATCAATTTAGGATTTTTACAAATGTGGTGCGAAATATTAAGGACCCTTTGTCTTCGTAAAGAAATAGTGCAAAAGTTAAATTTTCCCCTACTTCAGTCATTTTAATTTCCTAATGAACTTAAAAAAATTGAGAAGTCAATATTCTTTCTTTAAAAAATATAGAAAATTTTGCGTCCTTAAAATGTAATTCTGACGTATTATTCATTTTTTCAATTTTTGATTTTAAAAATGGAAATATATCAGCGCATAAAGCCTTTAATTTCGTAACGTTTTAGTTATGATTGGACCTTACGTCTCTGATTTGTATCCGACGTTAATGACACTTAACATCAAGATTTTGAATAAAATACAGGGTGAGATGAAAAAAACTGCAACCAAATTCAGACTGTTGTCATTTCTAAGCCATTTGTCCGACAGCTATTAAAATTATTCCAGTGACAGCTCGTTATATTATTTACAAGCGAACAAAAGCATTTTGGTGAGAATTTTCCAGAAAAAAACTTATTCGTGATTGAATTCAAGCGTGATAGTGTGATTTCTTTATATTTGGCTAGAAAACCACAAGTGGCTATCGTTAGAGCACTCCAGCATTTAAATGTGAATAAATCTTTTGTGTCTCGTACCATCGCTCGTTACCGTGATACTGGTAGCGTAGCCCGACGTTAAGGAAGTGAACGGTAAAAAACAGCAACATCAGCAGAAGTAAAGATGCGACTTGATCGAAACCCTCGTCGCTGTGGCCGAAAAATGGCCCGTGAGCTGAACATATAGCAATATTCCATTCGCCAAATATTGAAAATTGAGCTAAGGGTAAAGCCATTGAAATTCCGAAAAGTGCAAGAACTTACACCGCAACAGAAAGAAAATAGACTCAAAGGAGCTAAAGAGTTGATTCGCTTGGCCGAATGTGATGAACTGCCGAATTTGGTTTTCTCCGATGAGAAAACATTCGTTGTCCAGCTGTTTGTAAACAAAAACAAAAATGATCATGTTTACTTGTGCACCTTCGGTTGGCCACCAGAACTCAAGCGCCGGCCATGGTGATGGTGTGGGCCGCCATAACAGCCGATGGTCGAATAAATCAGAATAAATGCCGAATATTATGGCGAAAATATTCTGGAGGGTATATTAAAGCCTGGAGCACGTAAACATTTTGGCCGCAGACCTTGGTCATTCCAACAGAACTCAGCACCATCGCACTCAACACGTGCCACACAAGAAATTGTTACAAAATAAGGTTCCTCGCTTCATTTGCAGCGCACAATGGCTAAAATCTCCGGATACCAATCCGTTGGACTATTGTGTCTAGATTATTTTGGTAAGCAAGGTTGACACTAAAAAATATCAAAGTGTCGATCACCTCAAGCAAGCGCTTTGCCGGGAATGAGTCAAAATACCGCAGAGCAAAATTCGGGCAGCGTGTGACGGTTTCATTGGCCGTTTGAAGGCCATAATTCGAGCCAAAGGAGACCAATTCGAACAAATCTAAAATTTGATGCTATTTCCGAGATTTTTGCTTTCTTTCAATAAAATTAAAAAAATGTAAAAATTATGGCGTTTGACTTTGTTGCAGCTTTTTTTTATCCCACCCTGTTCAGGTCAATTTTGGAATTAGTCTTTTGTTTGATCTTTATGAGAATCCATATCTATATTGTTTAATATTTTAGATTTCTAACGTGTTATTCTCCTTATTCCTTGAACATTCTATTTTTCCTACCGGCAGATATAAGAGGCATTTTTGCATAATTTTTCAAAAATATAGATTTTCTAATATTTAAATTTGCATGTGCAGATAAAAATATTATTAAAAACATTCCATAGGGTCCAAAATTCAAAAAATTTCCCCTTGACAAAGATTCATTTTAATTCATTCTAGGAAATATTAAATTGTTACAGTACAATCGGTTGAAGTAAAAATCCTTGACCAAGTCGAATTATCATCAATTTTTCATCTAACAGAATATTAAATATTTGTGTGAACACTTTTGAAAAAATGTTTGTGTTTATCATTAAAATTTACTTTATTTTATTTAATAAAATATTCAGTTTTTAACTCATAGCTATTTTTGTATATTATTGGTTTTACTTCGTTTTGTGGTTTTCTTTTTCTTTTTTTTTGGAGATTTGTATCTTTTTTATTATTATTATTTTACGTTTACTTTGAATACACATTACTTTTCAAGGTTTTCTTTCTTTTTTTTTTATTTATATTTTTTTTCTTGCTTTAAATTAAAATTTCGATCCTAAGTTCTAAGGTTTTGCTTTTACAAATATTTACAAAACACCAAATTAAAATAAAAATCAAATAACGGAGCGGGGAAAAATAATAAAAACATGTGTATGTATAAAATTATATAATGGCTATATTCACCAATAAAAATAAACATTATTATTATTATAAAAAAAAAATTAAACATAAAATATGTATGTATGTACTATATAAGTTTTGTTATATGTGATTTACTACTTATTTGCCATTTTTTTGTTTTTTATTTTCTTTTGAAAAGTATATATTTCTTTTTTATTATGCAGCAGATATTGCTGATGCCAAACTTTTAGCACCACCAATATAAATAGACAAGTTCATTTTTAATAACAAAATAAAATTGAAATTAAAGAATAGCTACTTATTAATATATAAAACGACAAGATAAATCAATCAATAAAAAACTATTTAATAAACAAACTGATTTTTTATAAACACTTTGTTTTGTGATTTGAAAATAAAAAAATGTTTGTTAATTGAAAATAAAAATAGAAAAAAAAAACAAAAAAATATCTATTCTTCAACCTTTATTTATACTATGTTATCTTGAAATATCATCCAGTTTTAAAAATTCAATTTCAAACTTTAAAATAGAAAGGTATTTATTGTTTGCAAATATGTAAGTATTCAAACAATAAATAGCACTAGGTCGTTTTTGCTTTCCTTTCCTTTCTTATTTTAAAACTTAAAATGGGCCTTTTTTAATTTTGAATAATCGAAGTTGAAATGAAATTTATTTTGTTGACCATCAGATGCAATGAATTTTACATTGAATCTAAGGTCATTTTATAAGGTTTTCAATGCAGCAAATTCAAAGTATTGTCTTCTAATGCTGTCAAAAATTTCTGTTGCAGAAATTCCACAAAAAGAAGAAACCATTTAAACATATTTCACAAATGGGTCAATGGCAATTTTTTTCGAAAAGAAAATATTGTTAATGAAATAATATGATTTGACAGCAAAAGAAGACCAGCTACATTAACGTACCACCTTGTAAAAAAACCCATGATAGGGAGGTAGAGCTACCAGCTGATTACAATTTTTTTTAAGTGTGCCCGGCTTCTGCCAATTATGTGTATGTATTTGTTGTTTTGACAAATAAAAACAAAATATCTTCAGAATCAATGATTGGAAGAAACTTAAATTGCGGGTCGCGCATTAATAATATTAACCAGATTTGCCATGGAATTGAAAGAGTGAACTCTTAGGATCATATTTTTGGGAGAACATTTAGGCATTTCATACATCTTTCGCGTTTTTGACTCATTTTAAAAATGAACAAAAAATATCAAATAATTGAAAACAACTTTTGAATAATTCTGACAGGAAGCGGGCATAGCTTTAGGGCTGTATTTCTGTAGTTTTACGAAACTGTTCTACCTCCTTATTGTACCATGGATTGAATCCATGTCATTCAAAAATTAACACATAAAACAAGAACACAAAATTCAGTACAGAATTTGATTTAAAACCACACTTCAAAAAGTGGATGTAATTAATTTCTGCCGTATTTAATATTTAACTTTTGTTCATTGGTTTTCTAGTTTTATGATATAATTTTGAAATTACATAAATTCAATTTGCAACATACACATGGATGTTGCTATTCTACAGTGGGGAACAAATATGGTGATATTAACAATCTCTATTTGACCAAACCGTCGTTTGTAGGTCGTATGTTATGTTATAGTTGATCCATAACTTCGAAGAGAAATAACTGTGATTTAAACAAAATTTTAGATGCTTTAAAATCTGCAAAGATACTTTTCTGCTTTTTTTGGAAATGAAATATAAATTCATTAAATGTGCTTATTCTGTGTTTTAACTGCTGTTTTTTTTTTTTTTTTTTTTTTTTTTTTTTGGGTTGTTAATGTAGGTCTACATTTTTGTTTGTTGCTTAGAAAGATTTGTATGCAAAATCTACTACTTGCCTGTAGCACAGTGGGTGGTGGATAGGAGGAAATTGAGTTCTTTTTATATATCATGAGTGATGGATGTATTTTTTTTGTTGGTGTTATTAATGTATGCTTAACATTTTGCATAAGTTTCTTCTCTATCATCCTGTTTTAGAACGCTGACAATTATTATGAATGATTTGTTGTTGTTGTTGTTGCGTTGCCTTTTAGTTAATTTGCTGTTTTGCTTCAGTTATAAGAGCCAATAACGAGTCCAGTTTTAAATCTTTAAATCGTGCAAAATGATTCATAATTGGTGTAATGGAGTCCGACTCGATAGCAGCACAAATAGTTTGATTCTGTATGGTGCGATTCAATGATGTTGCAACTTGATCTAGAAATTGACGCCAATTATCCTTGTTTTGCTCCGTTAGAGTTGCATCTTCATTTTTGTCGTATATATTTTCAGCTTGTAATATTAAACAGACAAGAGAAGATATTCCGAACTGCAAAAAAGAAAAATTTTTATTATTTAACAAAAAGTAAATAATACATATATTTTTTTTAAATTGCATTGATTGCATTTAACAGTAAATAACAATCCCAAACATTTTTAGAGTTCTAAGGCAAATAATTATACAGGATGAGATAAAAAAAACTGCAACCAAGTCAAACGCCATAATTTTTACATTTTTTTTTTATTTTATTGAATGAAAGCAACAAATGATGGAAATAGCATCAAATTTAAGAATAAGTTTAGATTTGTTCGAATTGGTCACCTTTGGCACGAATTATGACCCTCAAACGGCCAATGCCCGAATGTTGCTCTGCGGTATCTTTGCCCATTCCCGGCGAAGCGCTTACTTGAGGTGATCAACACTTTGGTAATTTTTAGTGCCAACCTTGCTTTCTAAAATACTCCTGACACAATAGTCCTACGGTTTGGTATACGGAGATTTTGGTGGTCATTGTGCGCTAGAAATGAAGCGAGGAACCTCATTTTGTAACCATTCTTGGGTGACGCGTGCTGAGTGCGGTGATGCTGAGTCCTGTTGGAATGTCCAAGGTCTGAGGCCAAAATGTTTGCGTACCCAAGGCTTTAATACACCCTCCAGAATATTTTCGCGATAATATTCGGCATTTATTCTGATGCCACGGTCGATTAATACGAGCGGAGAGCGACCATCGGCTGTTATGGCGGCCTACACCATCAGCTTGAGTTCTGGTGGCCAACCAAAGGTACACATTTTCAGCTGACCTCTTTGGCAATTAAACGCGATCATTTTGTTTGTTTACAAACTGCTGGACAACGATTGTTTTCTCATCGGAGAAAACCAAATTCGGCAGCTCACCACTTTCGGCCAAGCGAAGCAACTCTTTACCTCTTTTGAGTCTATTTTCTTTCTGTTGCGGTGTAAGTACTTGCACTTTTTGTAATTTCAATGGCTTTGGAATAGAATATTACGATATGTTCAGCTCACGAGCCATTTTTCGGCAACTGCGACGCAGGTTTCGATCAAGTCGCTTCATTACTTTTCGAACCATTTCTGCTGATGTTGCTGTTTTCTTTCGTCAATTTCCTTCACGTCGGGCTACGCTACCAGTATCACGGTAACGAGCGATAGCACGAAACTCAAAAGATTTATTCACATTTAAATGCTGGAGTGCTTTAACGATAGCCACTTGTGGTTTTCCAGCCAAATATAATGAAATCACACTATCACGCTTGAATTCCATCACGAATAAAATTTTTTCTGGAAAATGCTTACCAAAATGTTTTTGTACGCTTGTAAACAATATAATGAGCTGTCACTGGAATAATTTTAACAGCTGTCGGACGAGTGGCTTAGCAGTCCAAAATTGGTTGCAGTTTTTTCATCTCACCCTGTATATTCATTATGATGAAAAATAGATAATACTTAAAGCTAGTACATTTCTTGTACATTTCTGAACCCAATTAAATACAATTCTTCGGCAAATAAGAAGAGCCATGTCAAAACGTTGATTAAGAACTAATTTTTGCCGTTGATAACAAAAAATATAAATTATGTTTTGGGCTGTGAGACTTAACAAGATACAATCTGGTTTTACAAATATAATTGAGAGATATTTTAAATATTTAAAGGACAATCAAGCACAAACCAATTCAAATTCAAAGTGATAGCTTTGTTACTTAAATCACAGTACCTTTGTTCGACATACACTATGCTAAATACTTCCACTACTTACTTTGCTACAAAAAACGCCATTTGCCTTTTTATCATTCAACGAAATTGCCGATGAAATCTTGACAATTATTTCGAAATTTGCCGATTTAATTTGTTTGTTAAATTCTGGATATAGGGAGTATAAAATGCCTTCGGCATCATCTCGATCTTTTTTCACAACACTTTGCAATGAATGAAAAACGCCAATCCATACATTCCAGCGGGCATCGTGTTGCTCAATATACGGCATAATCCGGCGAATTAAAACCTTTTAAAGGGAATTAAAAAAATAATTTTGAAAAATTTTCTATGTCTACGATATGGAAATGAGTTCAACACTTACTTTGCCTTTGCGCACATTCATCATTGCAACAACTTTATCGTGCTGCAATCCAGCTACAAGTTTTTCAACCAACGCTTCCTTGGTTTCTATTTCATAATTAAATTTAGTACGGAGTGATGGGTTGCTGACAGTATCTGCAGCACGTTCTTCGGGTGTCTTGTTGGCATTCTCTAATTGCTCCATAGCAGCAATGCGTTCACTTTCCTTCTTCTTTTTCATCAGAATTGTTTCAATGGCTTTGGGATTATTTAAGTCATCCAATTTTAAAAGGACACGATATAGGGTCTCAATGTGTAGCAAAATATAACGTGACTTTCGTTGAGTATTGGAAGAATTGAGATCGCCGCTGCCAGTTGAATTGGGCAATTGTGAAACCCCAGGAGTTTCAGAACGTTTACCTCCAGCAGCTGTTGCCGATCCATTGTTAGCAGCAGTTGTTACAACTGAAGACCCAGTGCTGGTATTATGAGCTGCATTGTCTGTACCATTTCCATGGGTGTTAGGGGATTCATTGCTCATAATTTCGGCATCTATTATCTTGCGTGGAGCCGTGACGCTACCGTATTGTAATTTGCCAAGAGAATTTTCAAATTTCAATGGGGTGTAAACATACATTGGCACTTTCATGTCTTGGTTGTTATTGTGATTATCCGAATTACGACGTTCTCGTTGCTGGCCATTGCGATTACCATTCTTATTGCCCAGTTGCACCAGAATAAGTTGGGCATGTCCTTTGGGCTGCGTCAAGGGATGATTCAATTGGTTGTCTTTGTGGGCTTGACTGTGGCGCAAGCTACCATTTTGAACCGTCTTGCGTTCTTTATAAACAGTGTAATAGTAGTCGTCAATGTATGGTGTGTCCGTATTCAACTGTGACAGCTGTATGCCAATAAGCCAATGCTTGTCGCGGGTGCTCATCAAATTGGCATACTCGTCGTAGTCTTCGTGAGGCAAATTGCCATTACCAGTTCCATCACGGCGCATATTGTGATTTAGTTTTTGATTGAGGTTCATTATGGGTACAGAACCGGCTCTCTTATGCTGGTGCAACTGGTGTTGTTGTAGGTTCAGAAGATTATTTGGACCAGTAGCATTTTGGAGCATTTGTTGTGACTGTCGGGCAGAGTTTTGTAACAACGGATGATTCTGTTGGATTTCTTGAACCAAACGCATGTTGAACATATTGAAAGAGGAATTCGATGAACTTTGATTGTTCAACAACATCATGGGGTTTGGTGGATGTCCGGGTATACGATTTGCAATAGCCGCTGCTGCAACTGCTTGTTGTTGTTGAGCCAAAAGTGTTGCCGGGTGTATGCCAGCGGCAACTGCGGCCGCACGCATTGCATTAAAATTGGGATGCATTGCAAAGTTGTTGAGCGCAACTGGTAGGTGCGGATTCGGCAGTGGACGTTGATTGGTAAAATTATTTGGCAATCCATGTTGGTTGAGTAATGGATGCGGTGGCAATTGTGGATGTGGTCCATGAGGGAAAAAGAATCCTGGATTTATTCGATTTCCTGCCGAGTTTAAAGTTGCTGGTTGTGGGTGCTGTTGTTGTTGCTGTTGCTGCTGCTGTTGTTGTAATAAACTGCCTAAAGGATGTTGAGCTAAATTATTTGCAAAATTGCTTGATGGTCTAGGTGGTGACTGATGCTGAGCTGAGTTGGGAAAGGATGATGATCCAGCTTGAAAATAAAAAAGTAATGTTAAAGGATAAATTACCTTTAAAATAATCCTATTGAAAAAGTCAACTAAACAAATTGTTATTGAAACCCGACGTTGTGAAATCTTTCGTATTGAAAAAAAATAAAGTTTGTGCTTTTTACCTTTTTGTTGCAATTTTTGATTTAGCTGTTGTTGTTGTTCTAACAATTGATGTTGTTGATTCTGTTGATTTTGCTGAGCTTGTTGCTGCTGTTGTTGTTGCTGCATTGGCGTTGAAGTGCTAGGTGTATGCTTCAAAGTATCGTTAAGTAAGCGGTGTTGCTGAGCTGATGTATCCATTGCCTGTGCATTGCGATCCTGTTGCTGTGAAGTCTGTTGTTGTTGCTGCTGCTGCTGTTGCGCTTGTTCTTGTTTCGCAGCTGCTTGTTGCATTATCAAATTTCTTTCAATATCTTCCAAAGTACATATTTTAGGCGGGCCCCCTTGAGGGTGCATAGGCGGAAGATTAGGTAGTCCAAGGGGAGGCATGTTTACAGGCGTTTGGCGATGAGATGCTTGCTGTGCCATCATTTGAAAGTGCGCGTGTTGGTGTTGCGGATGTGGCGGCTGTTGTGGTGCCTTGTGAAATGGACTTGGAAAATGTTCTGTTAAAAAAGCAGCCGCGTTGGGCGTCATTCTTAAAATGCCATCATCATTGGCATTGTGGTGAACCCTTGAAGGCTGTAATGACCACACACTGGGATCCATTTTCATGGGATCTCCCAGAAGCGTGCTCATATTTTCATTTTCACCATAGCTGATGTCCACATCATCCAACTTCATGCCGGTCAAATTCAATTCTAAATCCGAATCCGAACGTCGTTGTTGGCGGGAATTTCGCAAAGTATTCATGGAGGTGCCGTAACCACCTCCACCACTTGCCACATTCCCAGTACTGTCCAAGGTATCACCATCCAATTCCCCATCCAAACGCACCAGGTTTTCATGCACCTCCTCCCAGTCTCCATTGATTGCGGAGCCGAATGTCTCGTCATTTAATGCATCATACTCTTCCTCAGATGGTTCAGCAATTCTTCCTCCGCCATCATCGTCCAACTAAAAAAACAAAAGAAAAACATGCATCATTGTGGGAAAACACAATGCCATTGTTTTGCCACGGAGCCACTACGGCTGCATTGCTAACAAAACAAAAAGCACCAAATCAGTACACTCTCACAACCCAATCAAACTGACCGACCGACCGACCCAACAAGAAAAGTGGCACCATTGTACTTGACCAAGAGTAATTTTACGCATTAATTTTCCACGTTTGTGCCTTCACAAATCCACAGGCATTCGCCATTTTCCGATTTCAGGCACTACCACTTACCGGCATAGAGGTATCAAATCCAAAAAATGAGTTTTCCATCGATTAAATTTGTTTATTTTATGTGAAATTGTCATGACTTGTCACACAGCCACATTCATCACATATGGCTGGCTTGGACCATTCGCTAAAAACGAACATTGACGAAGAAAAGTGTTTAGTGTTGCCACAGTTTTTACATTCACAGAATATAAACTAAAAATGTTTTAATAAACTAAAAAATATTAATTGACAGATATAATTCTCATAAATTACAAATAGTTATAACATATTTATTTATGTTTAACAAATGTTTAATAAATATTTATATTAAACTCTGAATATTAGAATCACCCTGTTGCTGACAAAATTGCCAGACCTATAACCAAATGATGGGATTTTTCATTCTTTTTTGTATTGGGCAACACACTATGCAAAACAGACGAGGAAAGTTTATGGAAAAGAATAGTAAATTTTATGGGAAAGAACTTATTTTTCTTATATCTATGTTGTAAATCAATTTTAAGTTGTCTTTAAATTGAGACATGATCACTATTACCGTTCGAAGCATAAATTTCGTCAAAATGGTTCCTAAACATTTACCGCCATACCAATATTGGTATGATAGTATGAAAATATAAAATTTGAAGCATCTACTAAACGAAAAGATATTGGTAGAAAGTAATACAAACGTATTTTAAAAAGATTAATTGTTTTTTCTTCGGGGTAATGTGAAATACAAACGACAAATTTTAAACTATTTGGTTGAGTTGTACAAATTAATAAAAAAAAACAAAAATGACAAACAACACATTTTCTAACGCGTTTCAATTCAATTTATTTCTGGATAAAACAACATCAGGATGTATTCTACCTCTATATACTAATGGTATCCAACTCTCGTTTCGCGCTCAAAAATAACTTACATTTTAGGCAACACCTAAAATGGCACATACAATAACACAAAATTTAAAGTTGTGTTTGCTCATGCAAATACAAAAATACCCGCGAAATTTTTCCTGTAGACACTCACCAACGTGAATGAAAACTTATTTTTTAACACTTTTGTCTCTATCACTTTTTTTGTTACATTATTTATATACTTCTAAGGACTATGTAGACACACACTGTTAACCCATTAGATTTAATAAACCCAGCGGGCTAAGATTTAGGTTTAGCTAAATCCATAAACGTCGAAAATATATAAAAAGCCGCTTTGTAGCAAGATCTTATTCTACCTCATGTTATTGTGTCATGGCTAAATTGTCTAATGCCATGTTTACGTTAGAACTTTTTACAGGGTTAACCTACTTCAGGAGCAGTTATATGAAGTATGCGTAATGGATATGACAATTTTAATTTAAATCCATAAGGATAAGCCATTTATATGTAAACGTACTGTAAAACTGAATATTTCAGTGAGTTATAAACAAAATAACGAGACTATTCTCTTCTATTATGGGGCGGCGTAAAAACCGTTAATTGGTTCAAAATGTCTTTAATTCCAATTAGGTAAACGTTAGCGTATTTATCTATTTAAAAATCTGGCATCCTTGCGTATTGCAGAATGTGGCAACATCTTGACTTGCACAGCTGTTAGCATGTGTTAACTTAGTTAATTTACTGCTAGTGTGGCTCACTAGCAGTAACAGTGGTTTAAATTGTTTACCGCAGAGAGGAAAGGATTCGGCGTTTAACCTCATAATATTTAATTTTCGCAACCACTGACCACTAAGTCAATATTTATTTATATAAGAGATGTGCATTTTTTAAATATATGTGAATAAGAAAACAGGAAGAAGCATTTCTACAGTAACTACTCATCGTTATTTATGGCAAATAAACAACAAATTTGAGTTGTAACAGGTTTTCATAGTGGAGAGGTGTGTCGGTGTTTTGTGTATTTCTACGTCGTGTGGGCTTTTAATCATCATCACCAGAAACTTAAGGTATTTTGCTAAGTTTATTTGCGCGTAATTTTATCGGAACAAAATGAAACGCGACAAAGGAGCTGATGATGAAAAAGAAAAATCAACATATTTGGGTTTTGATCTAAGCACCCAAAAGGTAAGTCGTTGACCTACGAAAATCGTTTCAATGTTAAAAGTAATTCAAAGTAGAGTCATAAAAAGGTACCTACATGTTAGCATTAGTTTAACATTAGTGGGTAGGTGAAACACAGCGCACACAAACTGTGCTATAAAACAATTGTGTTGAAGAAACTCCACAAATGCAAATTTATTCAAGTTGGTTTTTTGCAATCACTTCTTTGCAGGGAACTTCGCAATATGTTCATACTTACACACATTTAGCTTACCAACTGCATATCTAATTAACAATCGTGGAAGTTTGTCTATCTCTGCATGCTATTACTTGTGAAAATTTGCCACAATTTTTTTTGTCGTATATGACTAAGTAATTCCGCCCACACCAGCCATATGTTCACACAATGAAGCTTAGTTTTTGTGGTTTGTTTTGATTTTAGCTTGGTAAAATGCCTACAATAGAAAAGTGATAGTATAAACAACATCTCTGTAGGCTATAATACCTAATTAACTCTTCATTGGCTACTGTTTAATAGCAGTTCAATGTATGTTTAGTTAATGACAAGTGTAGAGATTAAAAAATATGTCATTTTCTAAATTTCTAATTAAAAAATAAGATAAAGGTTTAACATTTCGGGCATTTGTGTGTGACTGCCTAAAATTTTATTTTCCCATATAAAAAAGTAATACAAAATAATTTTTGTCGTAGCTTTATACATTTCAGAGTTATAAAGTATAAAAACTCTTTCTACTATATGAACTCTATTATAAATGTAATAACTTGTATGCATTTAGGAAGATGATCAAATATGAAGAACAGAATTTCCCTATCACGACTATGCTTCAACAGAAGCAGAGAAAGTTCTACTTCATTCTGAACTAAACCAAATTTACTTTTCAGGGTATTTATGTTAAAATCGAATCAAATATAAACATTGCATCATTAATGCTAGCCTTAATATAATTTAGCCAAGTTGAGTTTAATACAACTCAGATCTAAATGAAAGTCTCATGCTTTTGTGCAAACCAAAACCAGTACGATGAAAATATAATATGCTCTGTTCCAGAAATGCAATAATCTAGAAGTTTTTACTACGATAGCCGATTTTCCCTCTATGATATCGAAAGAAATAGCAACTTTACATTCTTGGAACAGGCCAAAATCTCTCCAATTCAATAGAAATCATTTGAGATTTTGAAAAAAAAAAGTTTACCAAATCTTCCATAATTATTTGAATTTGTTATCGTATAAAGGTAGGAAATATTTCCTAGGCTTGGAGATATAACTTCTCCTAGCAACGTATAAAGCAGATGGTGCCCATATCTAATAATTGTTGGTGTTTTCAACATTTTACCATAGCTTCAAAATCTGCTCTAATTGGCATTTTGGATTATCGATTTTCAGCTTCTTAGAAGATACGAACCTTTGCTGCTGAAAATGTACAATATAACTCCACTATTTTGTAACCCTTAGTCATCGATATGGCTGTAATTTAACAGTTAACATATAAAGGTAGAGGAAATAACTTTGTGAGTGGAACACATATTTGCAAAAAATCATTGAATATCCTGATTTGGAATAATATTTGGACCATTTCAGATAAAATAAGTTTTAATAACAGATTAAAGCACATTAAACGAACCACAAGAAATTCACATATTAAATGGAGCCAGGCTGCTCTAGATTATCAGCAATGTCAAAAATATTCCTAATAATTCCTCTAATGCTGTCACAGAAAAAAATTAGTGCAGGATATATTTAGAAAACTCATCGTAACAACAGTTTCCAAAACAGACCCAGAGGCATAACATAAAAATTAAAGTCATTGAGAAAAAAAGGAAACATCTTGTACCAAAAAATTTTGATATTGTTGACGAGGATGTATTTTACAGCCCCAAAAACTACATTTATAGTAGATTCTTGCAGTTTCTAGAACAGAGCAATATTGTCGTGCTAAACGTCCTATAAAATTATTTTTCAAGCTCGATCCAATGGTATTATTTCTATAAATATATTTCATCGATCTAAGACATCAATTTAGATTCCCTTGAAGGTCAAATACTTATCAACTATTTAAACTTAGCATTTTAGAACTTTTGAAAGACAAATAAAGCTAATTCCCCATATTGCGTTTGATTTTTCTGATAAGAATTGTTTTAATTATTCGTCTTCTCATCACAAATTCATTTCATAATTATGCCATTAATTGTTTAGACTAATACAAACAAAGCGTTGGGTGTTTACTTTATAAATAACAGTGTATAATAACAATAATAGTAAAAGTATTAGACGATGAATGCTTTTTTATTTGGCCTAATAATTAGAGTATACTAAATTCGCAACAACAACATCACAATAAACTATAAATGTGACGTAGAATATTAACGTTAGCTAAACACACCTTAGAAGATGGGATAGGCCGCTGCGTAACAACAAAGGGAGGACACTATTTTAATTTATTATGGAATTTGGTCATGAGAACATCACGAAAAAAGGATATGTAACTATGTACTAATATGCACTTGGGGGATTTGTATTTATTTTGGGGGCGAAATGATGATGACACGAAAAAAACAATAAATGTCTCTTTTTAGGTGTGTGTTTAAATTTCTTCATGCAAACAAAGGCGACTCTTGTTAAAATTAATTTTATACTTAAAGAAATGAGTTACATTTACACAAAAATTTAATAATTCACACATAACATACACGATTGTGATTCCTTAAAAAATTATCATAACATTTCAGGTTTATATCACTGAAGGTATTCTAAAACATGAAAGCAAATACTATAGCCGTGCGGGGCCGACCATTTGATAAGCCCCCTTATGTTCAAATTAATTTTGGAAGATTTCGATTTTTATACCCTACACCACAAGGTGGTCAGGGTATTATGTCTTTGTGCATTTGTTTGTAACAGGCAAAAGGAAACGAGATAGACCCATAGTTCCTTTTGATGATCTGCATAGAATCACATTCTGAGTCGATTTATGCATGTCCGTCCGTCCGTCTGTCCATGTATTTTTGCACAAATCATTGGAGATAATCGCCAAAAATTTAGATATAGCTCCCATATATATCTTTATCTGATTTCAAATTAATTTTGCACCAAATGGGCAATACAAGTCCGAATTTAAAAGATACAACTGCTTCGGCATATTTAGTTCTTTGAACTTTAAATTAAAATTATAATCATAGCGTGTATGATTGATTTCTCCCATAAAAACTTGTAATTGTTATGTGGAGCTATACTAAATTAGCAAAGTGGTGTAGGGTAGGGTAAAGTCGGCTCCGCCCGACTTTAGGACTTTCTATACTGGTTAAGTAATGATATAGAGCCCTTCCCTCATGTTACCCTTATTTACGCACACCGCCGTGGCGTTATGTAATCAAAAAAAAAAAAAAAAAAAAATTTGGTCCATTTTGCTAAATATAATCCAATGGTCATCCACAATGCTCGACTTCTTCCCTATAACTAACTCTCTCCTCATGTAGAGCGACTACAAAATCAGAAAAATCGCAAGCGATAAAACTTTTTTGTTGCAATATTTATACGCGATTTTCTTAGATTTATCCTTTTCTGGCAAGAGACCATTCCGAATTGATGAGAATTGTGAAAATCAGACCAGCCGTTCTTGACTTACGATCGATCTAACTACATGCCCTTCTTTTATATATGAAATTTAATATATTTCGCTATATATGCGCATATTTCGCTATATATGCGATATTTTGGATATGAGCATCAATTTAAGGGTCAGAAGTGGCATTTACTTGTATTTGTGATTTCGCCAGAATTAAAAATATCCGCGGTTTAGTGAAATTTTTCGTATTTAAAAAAAGATATGGTCTATTTTACCCGCTAAGTAGGTTGCGATCATATTCTGTCCCTAACCACACATCCAGACTCAATTTCGTGAGGATGGGGCCATAATTGCGACTTGTAGCTTGATTACAAATTATCATGGACAGAGGAACGGACGGGCATACATAGCTAGATCGACTCAGCTCGGCCGGATAGGAAGACCCCTATGTAGTTTCCTATGTGGGAAACCAATATTTCTAGGTGTTACATGATTTTTGGCCCAATCAAACTTATAATACCCCCAACACATAGTGTTGTAGGGTATCAAGATATTAAATGTTAATACAAAAATCGAAGATAATAGCTCTAAAGTCAAAAATTCACGATATTTTCCCATTACTGACTTCTAATAAAATAAACAGAAAATTTGTTCCCCTTCTTCCTTTATTTACAGCTTAAAGCCGTCCAATTAAATAATAAACTAGAAATTCTTGTAACTGCTGAAGTGCAGTTCGATTCGGATCTTCCAGAGTTTCGGACACAGGGCGGAGCCAATGCAGGATCTAGGAAAAATGAGTGAGTTTACACAAAGAACTATTATTATTCAATTAATAAAAAATATTAAAAAAATGCCTCAACTGTCAGATACTTCGTCCAACCTGTTATGTGGGTCAAGGCCCTTGACATTGTTATGGATCGCCTGGTTATGGAGGGTGCCGACTTAAGTACCGTAATGGCCATTGGAGGCTCTGCACAACAGCACGGCTCTCTGTATTGGTCGCGACATGGCATCGAAACTTTAAAAAATCTTGACCCAGATAAATTTTTGCATTTACAAATCGATGATTCAGCATTTGTTTTAACCCGTACACCAATTTGGATGGACGGTTCTACAGAGAATCAGTGCCTTGAAATGGAAACAGCCATAGGTGGTCCGCAAGAAATGGTTACAATAACCGGCAGTAAATGTTATCCCCGCTTTACTGGTCCACAGATACGTAAAGTCTATCAACAACGTACACATGCCTATGAGGATTCGAAACGTATCTCATTGGTAAGCAGTTTTTTGGCCTCATTATTCATTGGAGATGTGGCGTCCATTGATTATGCTGATGCCTCCGGAATGAATTTATTTGATATTAATACCAAAACATGGTCAAAAGCCTGTTTGAATGCTTGTGCACCCGATTTGGAAGAACGTCTCGGCACTGCTGTACCAACAAATTCATGTTTGGGAAATATTTGTGAATTCTTTGTGCAACGTTTTGGTATGCCGCCCGAATGTCGTGTGGCAGCATTTACCGGGGACAATCCTTCAGCATTGTCCGGCATGTTGGTGGAAAAAGATTGGTTAGTTATGTCCTTGGGCACCAGTGATACATTAATGATGAATTTAGAACAGCCACCTCATTTGGAGCAGGGACATGTACTGTGTCATCCCACCGAACAAGATCAATATATGGGATTGTTATGGTAGGAAACCGGTTATTTGGGTTTTCTTGGCCAAACGTAAACAAACTTTATGTCATTTAATTCCAGTTTCCGTAATGGTTCCTTGGTCAGAGATGCTATGAAGCGAGCTGAGGCACAAAATAGCTGGGAAACATTTAGTGCCTTGCTGGATTCTACACCGCGTGGTAATTATGGTAACATGGCATTACATTTTAACACCATGGAAATTATACCCCAGGCCAAGGGTGTATTGCGTTGGAATAAAACTCATTCGGCCGCATCTCCAGATGCTGTCAAAGGTGTTCTCAAGTGAGTGACCATACATTTGATTTTTTTTTATTATAATGAATGATTAATTTTTATTTTTTAGGTTCACATCTCCAGAGGCTGAAATACGAGCTTTAATTGAAGGACAAATGTTACATAAACGTGCCATTGCCTCAGATATGGGTTTTCATTTTGGCGGAGAAACAAAAATCATTGCCACTGGTGGAGCTTCCGTTAATAAATCAATTTTACAGGTTATTTCGGATGTATTCAATGCACCGGTCTACATTCAGGTACGGTTAATTAAATTGTATGTTACTCTCTAATTTGAGCATTAATCTTTATTTAAAAAAAAATTACAGAAAGCCAGTGAGGCTGCTCTATTGGGAGCTGCTTATCGTGCGAAATATTGTGAATATTTAGCACAGAGCCAGGAAGATACCAAAGCAACGAATGAAGATAGTAATATTCAAAGCTACCATGATTTCATTTTACCCTTCATACCGAATCATGTGGAACTTGTTTGTGAACCCAGTAAAGATAGCGCTGATATATATACACCAATGTTGGATCGTTATCGGGCCATGGCCAATGTTTTACAACAGAATAAATGATATTTTTGTACAAAGTCATGTTTTATAACAAACTCTCACAGATAGACTCGATTAAAGAAATTTAGAAGAAACGAAACAGATTAAGAAAATCATACATTCCTCTTTACATTATGTGTCTTGTTTAAGATATTATATGGACGCTCCATCCAAATCTTTACTAATACGCCAATTTTTCCTAAGAATCTAAATACTACAACTAAGAACAAGTGCAATCGTTTTTTATGACAAATAAAAAAATAATATTTTTGTTAAAAATCAATGGTGTCATTAATTTGTCCTTTATTACCAGCATTCTTGTGGTTATTGTATTACAATAATTTATCATTTCTATATGCCAATGCTATACCAGCTAAAATAATTGTTGTATGAAATCAGTTTTAATAGTTTATTTTTTACGACCACCACGTTCTTTGATTTGCAAATGAACTGTGGCTCCACTGAGTAGGTTATAGAAAGCCATAGTGTTGTTATCCTTGAAGAACATGCCCTGAAAAAGAATATTTTAATTATTAGCACATTTAGAAATGTTGCTTAAGAAAAATGTCATACTATTATTGAAAAGAATTTCATTGTTATTAGAATATAAGTAGAAGTTTGAGTATTTCTTTTGCATTTCTTGTATTTCTAATTGCAAGTTAAAACTCTAAATTCCCTTGAACTTTATGTATTTCTTTTTTGAGTTTTGCCTTTTGTCGGAGATCATATGTTTATGATTTATGTGTTTATTTCTCTTTCGAGACGAGCTTAATGATGAGAAATTTGCAGTAAAAAGGAAAGGCAGATAGACACTATCACACACTCACACTTTTTCACAGCAAAGTTTTGTTGTTTTGTAGTGACGGATTTTTTGTCCACAACAACTACTTTTCTTCTAATGCATACACTTGTTATAGTGCTGCTGTAGAAAGACGGGTTAATAACTATGAACATTTAGACGGCAACTAAAAATCCATCACGTCAAAAACAAAACTTTGCTATGAAAAAGATTTGCTAATAGAACTTGAGTCGAACTTGGATGGTCTCTGGTGTTTAATTCGCATATGCTTAATAGCAATAAGTTCGAAATAAATGTTACTTTCGAGAGAACGGCCCTTGTAAGCCATCATTCGCACCAAATTGCTTAACCAACGGCGAAACGCGTCGCATAGTGGTGAGTGTTTGATAGTGTCTATCTGGCTTTCCTTTTCACTGCAAATTTCAGATCATAAAGCTCGTCTCGAAAGAGAAATAAACACATAAATTTATATTTTTATATTTATGATGGTTTTTGTTGTTAGTTTCCCTTTCGAAAGGAATTTGAAATGATCTTATATTTGCAGTGTAACAGGAGAGCCAGAGAAACGCTCTCAAGCATTCACCTCTAGACAATACGCTTCGCCATTGCATGCAAAATGGTGAAGTACTTCGTCCATGTAATTGTACTTACCTCGTAGGAAATCTTCTGTTTCGCTGGTGGCATACCAGTCTCTTCTTGTATTTTACTTTTCAATAAAGTTACAGCATCGGTTAGGGCCAAGGATACAGCTATTGTTTGACCATTTAATTTCCATTCTGATTTGTCAATAACATTCGGAATTTGAACCTGTATGGTTATGGGACTCTAAAGGAAAAAAATAAAGCATACATTTTTTAATGAACAAACTAGATAACACATTGAATATTACCTTATGCATGGCTATGAATTCGGCCTCTGGTACCAAATTATCTTCAGAACGTAATTTCTTATTTGGTGGTTCATCATCAACTGCAATGGACTGAGCCATGGGTATAATAGATTGATCTAAAACAGCTGGTGCTGGTGTGATTGGTGGGGCTGCAGCTGGAATTGGTGCCATATAACCCGGCACTGGGAAGGGTGGTGCTGAAATATACAAATTGTCAATGGAGGAAATGAAAATTCACATCAAAAATACTTACGCATCATGGGTGGACCACGCATTTGCATCATCATAACTGGTGGTTGGGCTGGCATGTTATGCTGCTGGTGTTGGGATTGTTGATTTGCCCCTTGGTGTTGTTGTTGATGATGATGAGATTGATGTTGTTGTGGTGGTGGAGCATGGGAGGATTTATTTTGATTTTGATGCTGGCCACCAGATTTATTACCCACTGGCTTGGGCCCGATTTTTTCTTTCTCTTCGTCTGGCAGCAATCCCTTGACCTAAAATTAAAGAAATGTTAAAACGGTGTACGTCTACATATCTAGTGCTTGTCTTACCTTGTGTATTTGATGAATTTGATCTTCAAGGGTTATGTTGGCTCTGGCCGCCCGGGTAGCTGCCTCAACACTTGATGTATGACCATCCCAAGTAACACGATCATCTTTCTTTGTCTCCTCCTCACCCAATTTCTTACCAATGACAGTTTCCTCGTCACCCACACCGAAAATATCGGTACGACGTTCAGCCAATTGTTTAAGACTCGCCTCAATGGCAGTACCAGCTGCATAAACATTTTCTTGATTGATTTTCTCTACGGTATGCTTGTCGCGTTGCTCCACCCAACGTGGATCCAAAAGACCAATACGCATATGCTCAGCCACTTTGGAAGCGGGAATTTTCTCACCGGTAATTGGTGAAATGAGAAATTCATCAGTAGCTGTGGGTTTAACCGGCTTAACTTGGGAAGCTTTGGGATCATATTTTTTGACCACAACTTTATCATGTGTGGGAGGCATAAGTGGAGCAACAGGTGGTTGCATTTTAGCTGTAGAAGGTGAATCTTCATCGCTTGAAGCTTCATCCATATCTTGCACTTGTGTATTGTCTTTTTTGGATGCTTGACTGTGATATGTGGCTTCCTTCATATGAATACCAGTGCGGTTTTCCATTTGAGATAGCTTAACAGCACTTGGTCCGGTTGGTTCTTCATCGCTATCTTCTTCATCCGATTCAATTTGCATTTCAATGTCACCTTCTTCCTCTTGTAAACGCTCCTCCATGAGGACGCGAGCACCCACTTCTTCGGGTGTTGTAGGTGGTGGAAAATTGCCAGTTTCAAATGGTTGGTAATCAACTGTTTCCACCACCACGAAATCATGCCAGTCGATTTGAGCATATGCCACTAAAATGATTGTAATTATAGGATAATTTAAAAAAAAGATTAAAAAATAAAACTAAATATACTTTGAAATAAAAATAAAATAGCGTGCCACAAATTTAACTGAAACAAGTTATCCAGTAGTGTATGGCTTGGTTCTTAGTTTGCGGAATAAAGGACCCGTAAAGGATAGGGATCTGGCTATGAAATCAAATGGGTGTTTTGTCTAAATTTGAATTTTAGTCTATTTTTATGTTACAGATCGTAGAAATCATTTATGTTTGTTAGTTTAATTTGTTTGGATGTTAAGTGTTCCCCATTTTAACTAATAAATGGAAAACTAATTAAAACTTATTACCTATGTTAAAATGTAAAGTATGCATTTCTTACCTCTTTCTTTCTCAACCTTCTCCTCCTCACGACGTTTCTGGGCTTCTTGATGCCGCTGCCAGTTGGCACGATATTTGACCTGTTCCAAAACAATATTCATAGAAACACGCTGATTTCCACTTTCTGCTCGTAGCTTACCCAACAAATCTTTGGGAGGTATCAATATCTTTGTATACTGTTCAAGAAGTTTCGTGAAATATTGGAACAACGAATGTTGAGGCCGTAGGAAATCAAACTGAAAATTACGTTGTTCACGATTCATAAGATTTGTCAAGAATTGACGACCATTACGGGCCACAAACTGCGCTGTCAGTTTTACAATGTCCCTAAAAAGAAACAAGCAATATTAATCACAAAGTATATTAATCACAAATCTATAAAGGACTGCTTACAAATCCAATGCAGATATTGATGGTGGATCTGCTATAAATTCAAATTCTGCTGGAGGATCTTTGGGTACGAATTGCTGTTCGGCAACTTGTTTCAATAGTTCCTGTTGTTTTTGTTGGGCAGCACTTGTTACCGACAATTGTTTGATGCCCGTCAGAACACTTGGGGCAGAGGCATCTGAGGTAACAATAAAAATTATTAGTTTCCATTAACAATACAAATGGGACAACTACTCACCTTTTCCCTCCCTGAACTCATTTACTTTATGTCTATAGTATGCATGATAAGGATCACCGGAACTCAAAAAATTGAATTTTGGATTTCCCAATTCATTTTGCCGGATCCGTGCCTCGAACTCGGGACCATTGCGAGCAACAAAACTGGCAGTTTTGTCAACAATATCTAAATTCATTCAAAATCAAAGAAAACTGAGTATGGAAAACAACTTCTTACAAAATGTGTGTGAATTCAATGCAAATATGTTGGTTTTTTGGAAAAGGATACTTCTAACCTCCGGTGGAGGATAGATTATGCCTATGATAGGCCCAGACATTGGTTTCGACTGTTGATTATTATCAACAGCCATTTCGGCTTCTATTGAAGGCATGTTGTGGGTTTCTTCCTTAGTTAGCTCCTTAACTTTCAGCTATTCCTGTTTGTTTAATTTTGTTAAAAACGTATAAACTTCCCCAAAAGCATGGAAACGTCGTTGACAAAAGTAGCTACTAAACCACCAAACCGACGCCACCGAGATACGGCAACACTGAATAGAAAGACAGCACAGAAAGAAATTTGAATAAAGATGTGGAATCAAAACAGAAAGGCTGACAACATTTGAAACATATGACTGACATAGGGATAGGTAAGTCGACTTCTGATTACTCGAATAATTGATTATTAGTACTTGGGTGAAAACCGAGTACTCGACTATTCATTGTCGATTGTTCAACTTATGCTATGTTCTCATTGCAATTTCAATCACGTTATGCTATGTTCTCATTACACTTTCAATCACGTTGTTCGCTCCCAGAATTAGGTACACGAATTAACCCGTTCATACGGCACGATTCGTATTTCATAGTAAAATAATTCCTTCTTTGAAATGTTTTGTTTGTTGATTTTTATAGGAATTTCTACGAAAGTATATTTAATTCTCATTAACAATTGCTCCGTTCCAGAACTTACAAGAATCTACTAGTTTTGAAATTTTTTTTCAGTTTGGTTTCATAAGGGGACAATCGGTTATCGTAGTAAAAAAATTTACATTCTTGCGTTTCTGGAACAGATAATAGAATAAATTTATTTTATCTTTCATTTAACAATTTTCATTCATGTTTTGAACTTTTTGCATAAATGTTGGCATTTTTCACATAGTTTTCTGTTTTTAAACTCGGTTAGAGTCTCTTTTCAAAAAAAAAAAAAAAAATGTCGATACAAAAAAATTTGAAAATAGTGCTTTTTTTGTTTCCAGTTTTTTGACGAAATTCCAACTCATGGACAAAAAGCGTACCTCGGTTGAAAAAGAAAACAATATTTACTTTCGTTTGAATGCACATACGCCAATCAACATCAGTTCCAGAACTGCAAGAATGTAAATCATTTTAATGCGATAACCGATTTTCTTCCTTTATGATATCGAAGAAAATTGAAAAGCTAGTAGATTCTTGTAGCTTTTGGAACAGACCTTAAGGAAGCGAATCACGCATGGCAGAAGAATACAGGTAGATGCATCAACGCTTGGGAGCATTGAAATGTCAAATAATTTTAAATGTTTTTTAAATATGAGTAGATTTTTAAATGTTTTCTTATACGACGTCATTAGGAGGTTATTATAATTCGAGTTTTTTTAACAATTTTTGCAAATTTAAATAATTTTTCATTCAACATTTTCAATTCCAAAATTGGTTTGACAGTTTATTGTCCCAGCAGCTGTGTCGATGCGTCTACCTATAATCTTCTACCATGGAATCACGTGTCATGTGAACTTAGCATTACTTTACTCACTGTTTTTTTTTTAAATTCCTGTTCAACTAATGTGTCCAATGCCAATGTCCTGGTTTACATGCGTTGAGTTGGTTTGAAGGCCAACGAAACCAATATGAAGGCCAAAAAGGCCCTGTGCATGGACACGTCGTTTTTATACCCTCCGCTATACAGGAGGGTATATTAAGTTCGCCATTCGTTTGTAACTCACCGAAATAATAATTTTAGACCTAACAAAGTATATATGTTTTTGATCAGCGAAAAATTCTAAAATGAATTAGCCCTGTCCGTTTCTCCGTGTGTTGCAATTACGCAAGAGTCAAAACTAATAAATTTTGCACATATCAGTTTTTTTCTGCAGACAAGTTCGCAGATGAAAACTATCGATCCACGATATCGTATAGCCCCCATGTAACGGTAACCCACAATATTCCGTATTTTGATGATTTTAGTCACCTTTTTCAATGGAATTGTCTGAAAATCCACACAAGGACTTCCTTCTAACTACATTACTCCTAGAAGAGAATTGTCTATATAGGTCTAATATATTGTATGGCCCCATATAACGGTACCCCCGTTATTTGGATGATTTTAGCGACATTATTCACAGGAATCGTTTCAAATTTCGTAATGGGTACTACAGTCTATGACAAAAAATTGTGAATGCAGGTCCACGTCTTCGTATAGCCCCCATATAACGATACCTTCCGATATTCGGTATTTTGACGATGTTAGGGTGAATAATAACCGGAATTGTTTCAAATTTTGTATTTGAAACTCGTAATGGGTACTACAATCCATTTAGCTGCAATCTTTTAAGCTGTACTTTTCGATGGTATTTTTTGGAAATTGTTCAAATTCCTTGAAAATGGTCGAGGGTATTAGAAGTATGGCCCGGTCGAACATAATTGCTTTTTTACTTGTTATATCTTAAACTTTAACAAATTTAAATAATTTTTAATTCTAAAATTAGTTTGACAGTTCATTTCATAAAAGATATCCTTTGATTATACGTCAAATAAATGCCGAATCTTCGTAAAACGCGTAATTTGGACTCAGTGCAAATGTGGTCTAAAACACCTCATTATGTGGCAAATAGAAGGTATAATTTATTGGAATATAATATGTTTGCCAAAATGGTAAAATAAGGAGATAGAACGGCTTCGTAAAACTACAAGAATGCAGACGAGTCTATACCCGCCTTATGTCAGAATTATTGACATTTTTTTTCCAAAAATGAATAAATATCTGGAGTTTCTTTCAAAAATATAATCTAAACTTTTCAATCTTTCAATTCCATGGTAAAACTAGTTAATATCTCTAATACGTGTCCAAAACAACAAATACATACAAAAAGTGGCTTAAGTAGGGCACACTTAAAAAATTGTAATCAGCTGGTAGCTCTATCTTACCTTTTTATTATAAAGGGTGTTTTTTAAGATAGATAGAACTTTAACTTGTAAAAAGTAACACAAAAAAATTAAATTTTGATGAAACTTTTTTTATTTGTTTCAGTATACTTTGACAAATCATCATGAATAGACTCACGCTTGAACAACGCTACGAAATTATCCAAATTTACTTTGAAAATCAGACTCTAGAGCATTTGACAAATGACCCGTTGTTTTATCGCAAAATTGTGTTGAGCGATGAGGCGCATTTTTGGCTTAACGGGTTTGTTAATAAGCAAAAGCCGCATATGGAGTGAGATCAATCCACAAGAGACCCTACTGGATGTAATAGAGTCTACATCCAGAAAAATGCACCGTTTGGTGCGGTTTTCACGCTGGTGGCATCATTGGACCTTATTTCTTCAAAAATGAGACTGGAGCTCGCGTTACGGTCAATGGAGATCGTTACCGCACCATGATCAATGATTTTTATACCCTACAACACAAGGTGGTCAGGGTATTATGTCTTTGTGCATTTGTTTGTAACAGGCAAAAGGAAACGAGATAGACCCATAGTTCCTTTTGATGATCTGCATAGAATCACTTTCTGAGTTGATTTATGCATGTCAGTCCGTCTGTCCATGTATTCTTGTGAACAAAATGCAGGTCGCATTTATTATCCGATTGAGATGAAACTTTGCAAACAACATTTGTTTGGCCCAAGGACGAACCCTATTGAAATTGAAATCGGTAAAAATTTAGATATAGCTCCCATATATATCTTCGTTCGATTTGCCTTTTATTGTGCACCAAACGTGTAATATCAGCCCGAATATAATGCAATTTTGTACATACAACCAAATTAGGCCTGAAAATAAGTATGCCAAATTTGATCTTTGAAATCGGTTCAGATATAGCTATAGCTCCCATATATATTGTTCATCCGATTTGTTATTTTTGTCCTCCGCAGCCGTAATATGCACTCTGAAACAACAATATTTGGGGAAATATATCAAATGCAGCTCAGAAATACCTTTGCTAAATTTTTTCCAGATCGGTTCAGATTTGTATATAGCTCCCATCAGATTTGTATATAGCTCACAAATTTGGTAAAGATCGGTTCAGATATAGCTATAGCTCCCATATATACCGATTTGTTGTATTTGTTACCTACAGCCGTAATATGCACTCCGTAACAACGATATTCAGGGAAATATATCAAATACAGCTCAAAAATATCTTTGCCAAATTTTATCGAGATCGGTTCAGATTTGGATATAGTTCCCATATATATCTTTATCTGATTTCAAATTAATTTTGCACCAAATGGGCAATACAAGTCCGAATTTAAAAGATACAAATGCTTTGGCATATTTAGTCCTTTGAATTGTAAATTATAATTATAATCATAGCGTGTATGATTGAAATCTCCCATTAAAACTTTTAATTATTAAGTGGAGCTCAACTAAATTAGTCGGCCCCGCCCGACTTTAGGACTTTCTTTACTGGTTTGTTTAAAAATATGGATGACATTGATCCAGAGGAGATGTTGTTTCAACAGGATGGCGCTACGTGCCATACGGCGAACGCAACCATCGACCTATTGAAATCAAAATATGGCGATAAGTGGACCTGTCAATTGGCTTCCAAGGTCGTGTGATTTGACACCTCTTGATTATTTTCTTTGGGGCTACGTGAAGTCACTGGTTTATGCTGATAAACCATCAACAATTGACGCCTTGGAGGCTAGCATTGTTCGTGTTATTTGTGACATAAGGCCAGCAGTGCTCGAAAAAGTGGCCAAAAATTGGACGTCCAAAATGCACTTCGTCAAGAACAGCCGCGGTGCCCATATGCCCGAAATCATTTTCAAATGTTAATGTCACGTATTGATCTTTCGAATAATAAAAATTGATTAAAATTTAATTTTTTGAGTTATTTTTTACAATTTCAAGTTCTATGGGGCTTAAAAAAAACCCTTTACCATGCTTGCCAACTAAATTTACAAAACTGGCACAAAATGGCACAAATACTCCCAAACATGGTACAATGAGGAGAAGGTAGGCCAACTTTGAAAAAATTGAAAGTATAGAGGTCTACCTGTTTGGCTTGTAACGTCAGAATTAGTATAAAAACAATAAAAAAATCAAACAACTTGTTGCATTTATTTTGAATAAATAATTGAAAACCGCGAAAACTGAATGAAAGGTCAACACTTCTTTTCAAAACCAGGTTCTATATATCTCTAAAGGATTATTTCGCTACAAAAACTCTAGATTTTGTCGATGCATACGATGAAATAAACATTTTGAAAACATCCGAATTTGAATGTTTTCTGAACAATTTTTTGTTATTGAAAAGAAAACACATACATAAACAAATAAAGATGACATATTAAGCCAAGAAAATAAAAAAATTGAAATCATATGGTATCATAGCCCTACCTTGATATCATTGTACCATGCTCCTAAATACGCAAAGTAAAATGAACACTAGGCTATGAAAGATAAATAGGTAGTTAGGAGCAAGAATATTAATTGAGATTTTTGTTACAATCGATTAGCACTTCTCAAAGTTTACACCTAGCCTTTCAGAGAGGTATAATAAATATAAAGGGTGTATTTTTAGAAATATTATATTCGACACAATATTGAACAAAATACTAAATTTATTCTAAATACTAAAATTATTTCCTGAAATTTGAAAAAAATTTTAGCTGATGAAAAAATTGTTTCCCTTAGGAGTTGCAAACTCTCGATAACTCAACTGTCAAAATTTTTTTCTCAACTCGTTCCTTTTTAACTTGATTTTTGACTAATCGAAAAACATCCAGTAACAAATTGTTACTAATTATTGCGCTAACAAAAAGCCCACCTATATTTAGAAAGTTTCGAGCTAAAAATGATTAACAGATATTCTTTTCAAAATCTTTCGAAATGTGAATAGTTCATTAAAATTTTTGTGCAATGTCATCGTTGTAATGTCATATCAAAATATTAATTTTGATTGTTTGGCACAAACCTCGAAACACGATGACATAAAAAATTATAGGCCCAAAATTCATTTAAGCGTATATTTTCCACTTCAGTTTGGCCTACCAAAGAAAGGTTAAACATATATTTTTAACACGCAATTTGTTGAAATGGAATTTCTTTTTATTGTATGGAAATATGGAAAAGTGGAAGAAATATAAATTACACAATTTCCTCTAAATGACAGCTACAATGTAATAAATATTTGTCTTCAAATGAAAAATGTAACCGAAACCAACACCATTATCTTTGCATAAATTGTTATCTCTTCAAAATTGTTAGATAAAAGAATACGTTGTATCCCCTGAGAACACAAATACCAAATTATAATTTATTTAGTTGGTAAATTTTAGACCCAACAAAGTATATATATTCTTGATCAGCCTAAAATTCTAAGACGATTTAGCCATGTCCGTCCGTCTGTTGTAATCACGCTACAGTCTAAACGAATTAAGATAGGAAGCTAAAATTTTGCACAGATCCCCCTTTTGTCTGCAGGCAGGTCAAGTTCGAAGATGGGCTATATCGGTCCACGCTATCATATAGCCCCCATATAACGGTACCCCCCGATATTCGGTATTTTGATGATTTTAGCCACATTTTCTAATGGAATGGTCTGAAAATCCACACAAGAAGTTCCTCATGGGTACTTTATCCCTAGGAAGAGAATTATCTATATAGGTCAACGATATCGTATAGTCCCCATATAACGGTACCCTCTGATATTCGGTATTTTGATGATTTTAGCCACGTTTTTCAATGGAATTGTCTGATAATCCACACAAGGAGTTGCTTGTAGATACTTTATGCCTTGGAAGAGAATTATCTATATAGGTCCACGACATCGTATAGCTGCCATGGGCTATTTGGAAGAAAAATAACTCTCATTACTGTAAAATTACTACCAGATATTCCTAATTTCAATATTTCTAGATTAGGAGTGAATATGAAATATTTTTATCTATCGGGAGTATTTTTATCTATCTGTCCACTCCTTCTGGTACCTCCAAATATTGAATAATCATGACTCTTATGAACTGTAAAATACCTTCCAGATTTTCTACAAACTTTGCACTTATAACATTTCATCCATGGTAGAAGAATACGGAATGAACTGTCATTCCATTTTTGAAAATGAGAATTTTAGATGAAATATTATTCAAATTAACAACCTCCGATTGGCGTCGTATAAGAAAACATATAAAAATCTACATATTTTGAAATTTTTTTTTTTTGAAATATCAATGTTCCCTTGATTTGATGCATCTACCTGAATTCTTCTACCATGATTTCATCACTCATAAGAGATCTATATTTTGGAGGATAGTAACCATTTAGACCAATATTTTACTTTTGCTCTTTTTTGTGAGTCATATCATAAATCATAAATAAAATAAGAATTCAAACATTATTACGAGATTTTCCAATAAGAGGTGTTATTTTGAACAACTGGGATTATTACAGGTAAAAACTACGTCATTATTAAAAATTAAATATTCACTAAAAAAAGGTGAAAAAAAAACACAAACAGCGAAAATTTTGATCTTTTACGGAAATGGTTTTCGGACCCTGTTATCTTTCAAAGATGTGATTACAACTGACCATGAAAATTTAGTGATTGGGGCAAGATAAGTTCTATGGCCAGAGTTGATTTATGACCTCAAAGATGGATTGCGAAATGCTATCGAGGACATTGGTCAACTATATTGCGATTTTGTTATGCGAAATTTCGTGATCCTGCAAGCGTGCACTTGGTGGATATTTGACTGATTTGTTTTTCATAAATAACGGCATACGTTTCACTATACTATGAATGTTTCCTTGAATTCCAAAATAAGATGACTTCTTTGAACCCCCTGCGCAACACGGGGAAAATTCAGCGGATTATGAAATTATAGGCAAAATTCAGCAGATTATGAAAGTAGAGCTAAAAAGAATACACGTGAATAGGTGTTCTGAAAGTTAACAACGAAAAGTCAGCAAAACAGAAATTATTTTTAAGAGTTAGAGTTTAGAAATGTATATTTTTCGCCTGTTTTTAAAAAGGGTTAAACCCCTTCAAATTGAACCACATCAAGTTAACATTTTCGACAAAATTATTTATCATAAAATTCTAATATGGATCCCAGAAGACGTCAAGAAACCAGGAATTCAATGAGTTTGTGCAAATATCTCCAAAAAAGCATAATTTTAGAAAGATAGCGTCAAAGACAAAAATATTCTTCATCAAATTTTAGTATAAGTCACCAAATATATAAATCTCTATTTCCAATGTAAATCAAAAAATATTTACATCAATGATCCAAAAAAAAAATGTAGTATTGATAGTACTTGTTTTTACATCAGAACCCCACAAAAGTTCTGGGTTCTTAGACCAAATGTTGTTAAGTCCCTTATATTATTTCGACCTTATTTAAATGGAACCCCTATAGTTTGGTATACAGGGTGAGATGAAAAAACTGCAATCAACTTCGGACTGCTATCATTTCTAAGCCACTCGTCCGACATCTGTTAAAATTATTCCACTGACAGCTCATTATATTGTTTACAAGCGTACAAAAGCATTTTGGTGAGAATTTTCCAGAAAAAAAGTTATTCGTAATGGAATTCAATTCTCACTATCACGTGTGATTTCTTTATATTTATCTGGAAAACCACAAGTGGCTATTGCTAGAGCACTCCAGCATTTAAATGTAAATAAATCTTTTGTGTCTCGGACCATCGCTCGTTACCGTGATACTGGAAGAAAACAGCAACATCATTAGAAATGGTTCGAAAAGTAAAGCAGCGACTTGATCGAAACCCGCGTCGCAGTTGTCGAAAAATGGTTCGCGAGCTGAACATATCGCAATATTCCATTCGTCAAATATTGAAAAATGAGCTCGGGGTAAAGCCATTGAAATTCCAAAAAGTGTAAGAACTTACACCGCTAGAGAAAGAAAATAGTTGGTTCGCTTGACCGAAATTGGTGAACCGCCGAATTTGGTTTTCTCCGATGAGAAAACATTCACTCAGCACGCGCCACCCAAGAATTGTTACAAAATGAGGTTCCTCGCGGAGCAACATTCGGGCAACATTTAATTCTAAAATATGATGTTATTTCCGACATTTTCTGCTTTCATTCAATAAAAATTTATGGCGTTTGACTTTGTTCCATTTTTTTATCTCACCCTGCATGTGCAATGTTCCGCCACTAGAGCTAGAATCCATAACTAACTACAAATATGAATTTTTAGACAAATTGGTGGAAATATGTGGCTAGAACTATTAAAATACCTAATATCGGGAGGTACTATTATATGGGGGCTATCCCAAAACGTGGACCGATATATCTCATTTTCAATACCAACCAACTAGACACAAAGCAAACAACGGTGCCAAATTGCAAATCTCTATGTCATATAATGTGGGCTGTATCGTGACTTCAATAGATAGACATACGGTCATCGACTTGGAATTGTATGCTGATCATGAATATAAATACTTTATGGGGTCTATGAGGAATATTTAGAGGTGTTACAAACGGAATGACAAATTTAATATACCCTCCTTTCTAAGGTGGAGGGTATAAAAAGATATCAATACAGTTCCTCTTTTGGTAAAGCAGTTATTTTTTCAATTTTTTTTGTTTTCCTATATTACCTATCCCATTCCACATCTATTCAATATTTAATCACTCCAAAATCTCCCACTTTTCTGAAGTAGAATATTGAAATAAAAATGCATTATTTATGCACATTTCTTTCAAATAATCATCAGATCATCAACGGCCGGCCAACGCTTCGGATTGATTGATTACTACGAAAGTAAACGAGCTTTAACTCAGATTATGGACGGTGTAAACAAACGGGCGTAGTTTTGAAGCGGCATTCGCTCCCTCCCTTACAACAACGAAAATAAATAACAAAAACAAAAGAGAAATTGGTTTTGGCACTTCAGTTGTGTAAAATTGTTATTCTGAACGCATCGCGGAAAAAAAACAGTACGAAACTATACGGCTCCCTGCCAACCAGCCTGCCGGTTAAGCTCTGTCACATTTTACGGCTGACTTTGGAAACCGAAACAAAGAAAAATCTCTAGTTACAAATAAAAGCGGAGCTTGTTTGCCTTTTACATCAAATCCAATCAAAATAAATGAGGTTTCGAATTCGGTTTCGAGTATTGGAGAAATGTCTGTGTGTTTTCCTTTGTTTCAATTATGAAAATAAATAAGGTTTTGAAAGTCCAGTGAATAATAATAATTGCAGTTCTAAGAAATCGTGTGTGTTTAACATTGATTTTTAACGTGACAAAATATTGTAAAACAGATTTCTTTTCAAAACTTAATTGATTCAATCTTAGCGGTGTCATAATGAAAATTTCAATAATTTTATTTCTCCGAATCGCTTTTGTGTTGGGTTTTGTAAATTTCAAATACGGTAAATGAACATTTAAATGGTAACGATTAGAAAATTGTGATAACGTTTTTTTGTTATTGTTTTGCGTTGCAGATCCCATAGTTATCACGAAAGCTGAATTGGATGCTGTTAAATCCATAAGTGAAAATGAGTGGCTTGATTTTGTACGACGCGGCATAGAATCAGATAACCAAGAAAAAAGGTATGTACGTGGAAATCGAGTGCAAATGTCGATTTCGATCGATCGAGAGTGATGTATAGCATTTTCGTTGAATAGGATTTTCGAATGAAAATGTTAAATACGCTGCAAATAAAAGTGTACCATTAGTACTAAAATGAGGAAATATAGAATTCATAAATTTTTCAAACGTTGGTCCTACTTTTCTTGTGCAGCAATGAGATAAGGCAGGGAATAGAAGGTTATTGTCATGGTATTTAGCCGAACTTAATGGTCATCCAAATAGGTCATGTAGATTTTTTACTAAAATGAGCACACTTTGCATTTTTTAACATTCTATAAACGAATAAAACTGGAAAAGTGGTATAGGGGTAAACCGAAGTCTCGGAAACTCTTGCTAAAATCATTCGAAAAATACTAAACTGTACAAAATGTTGTTTCCTGGTATTGAAATCTGCATGAATCAAATAACCCATTAAAAATTAATGTAAACAAACTGCCTCCTGCATTACCAGTAACTTGAAATTAATGGGTTATTCTTTAAAATTGGGTTAATTACAAAGCAAAATTGTTAAATTTTTGACACTTTTTAGGGGAGTTTCCAAAGGAGAGCAGTTCATTTCGTATCTGACCTAAGTATTATATGAATACTAGCTGGACCGATCCGCGTTGCCGGTTCGTAGTTTTAGTCTTTAATGCATAGATAAATCAGAAGGCACTTTTATATTAGCGCTTCTCCGAAAAATGGACATTAAAAAATTTCCGCGAAGAGGTCTTCTACTCCCTTAGAAGCTAAGACCAAATGTGACCAAGACCCTGGAAATAGCTGAAATCAGCAGATACCTTTATATAAGGGTTACACCAAAGCATGGTCCTATACTTATAATTATTTGGAAGAATGTGTTGTTCTTTCTAAAATTACAAATTACCAACATTTTAGGAATTTGAAGGAGGCTATATTATTTGAGGGGGCTATATCACAATGTAAGCCGACCTGATACATATTTTGTACAAATGATTCTTCCTGTAATCCCTAGGACTGTCACAAATTGAAAACTCTATCGCAACTTTTGCGGAGTATAGAGCAAAATATTTGGGACCCTTTGTGTTTGGTTAATCTATAGAAAATGGACCCAAAAACGTTTGACACGAAACCCCAAGTTTAAATTTCCCGCAGTGTAATTACTGACGACAGAGCATAGTCCCCGTATAAAGTTACATGTGAGTTAAGGTTACTATTAAGGGTTCCGAAGAATTTTCCGAGGCTTCGAATCCTTTTCTTATTAAATTTTCAATTCGCTCCACTATTTTGTATAGTGCGCATATTACGTATATTAGCGCTTCTCCGAAAAATGGACATTAAAAAATTTCCGCGAAGAGGTCTTCTACTCCCTTAGAAGCTAAGACCAAATGTGACCAAGACCCTGGAAATAGCTGAAATCAGCAGATACCTTTATATAAGGGTTACACCAAAGCATGGTCCTATACTTATAATTATTTGGAAGAATGTGTTGTTCTTTCTAAAATTACAAATTACCAACATTTTAGGAATTTGAAGGAGGCTATATTATTTGAGGGGGCTATATCACAATGTAAGCTGACCTGATACATATTTTGTACAAATGATTCTTCCTGTAATCCCTAGGACTGTCACAAATTGAAAACTCTATCGCAACTTTTGCGGAGTATAGAGCAAAATATTTGGGGCCCTTTGTGTTTGGTTAATCTATAGAAAATGGACCCAAAAACGTTTGACACGAAACCCCAAGTTTAAATTTCCCGCAGTGTAATTACTGACGACAGAGCATAGTCCCCGTATAAAGTTACATGTGAGTTAAGGTTACTATTAAGGGTTCCGAAGAATTTTCCGAGGCTTCGAATCCTTTTCTTATTAAATTTTCAATTCGCTCCACTATTTTGTATAGTGCGCATATTACGTATTCGGTATTTCACTGATTGCAGTCCCAATGAATTTTGCATTTTGAGTTCTCATTGGATGGATTATTTCCATATCTAGTCAATTTTTTGGAGTTTTGGACCTCAGAATCGATAATCATTTAAAAATTTAAATTTAACTATCATAAATAAAGGTTCATCGACTTATAAAATTTAGGGACCCCATAAAGTATGTTAAAGAGTAGAAATCTTTGTTGATTAAATTATATCCGTGAGCCTCTTCGTTCACCGTTTGCAATTAGGATAGAGGTCACCAATTTTAATATGTGTCTTTCAAACTTTGCACAGGTTTTTATATTATTCTTAGGATGATTGATTTTACAAAAGGTATATATTTGTTCTCAGTTATATATAGCCCTCATATAATATTATCTCCTAATATTCGTCGAAAAACTGTGCTCTGATTTGGCCGATTTGAGGTATTTTGAAGGGCTCAAAAGTATTTTTGAGGTTATAAACCATTTGTCAAAAAAATTATAACAAAAGTCCACCTTATGATTTATTTTCTATTCCCCAGTAGTGGTTACTATTGGTTCCCCATTAGGCATAGCCTCAATTTAAAAGTACGTCGAGATTTTTAATGTTTTGATGCTTTGAAAAGTATTTTTTAATCAAAATTGAAAATTTTAATAATATAACGGCATGTATAGAAAATATGCAAATTTTCTCGATGTTTACGGTTTTTTTCAATAAGAATTTTCAATTGCAATTCTACACAATACTCCATATCAAAATAGAACAGTGTTTTTTTTTTTTGCAGTTCCGCGAGTTTTATAGAGGCTTTTCTTCAAATGTTCGGCCCAGCCGTTCTCAAATGACGTGTTACTATGCTTTTTTAAATTTTGGTGTGGCCAGTTCCTCCGGCCCCAAACAGATACCTATTGTTGGAGGGAGAGTGAAGATTACGTCGTATACTAACTGTAGAACAGACATCTTCATGATTTTGGCAAATATTAGGATTTTAGATAAATCGAAAAATGGGGGTAAAATTGGGCGTGGTCACTTTTTCATAGCATAAAAACCTTATTCGGGATAGAACGAACATTTAGAAAAAAAATTATAAAAATCGTCCCAGCTGTTCATAACTGATTCAATTACCAACGAACAACTTATATATATATATATATATATATATATATATATATATATATATATATATATATATTATGAACAGCTGGGACGATTTTTATAATTTTTTTTCTAAATGTTCGTTCTATCCCGAATAAGGTTTTTATGCAATGAAAAAGTGACCACGCCCAATTTTACCAATTTTTTCGATTTATTTAAGCGGGTGTGATGGCTCTTCGTGGGTCACACGGGGATTTTCACTGCCCCAGAAGCGTAAATTGTGCTTATTTACGTACCCGCTAAGATGGAATTGGGCCTCATCACTAATGCTTATTTTCAATCGTCTTCTTGGTGCTGATTAATGATGGCTTGAGCATATGTTAGATGCGATTGGCGATCAGCAGTAAATACCTGAAGCACCATCTAGACTTTGTACGGAAATATCTTCAATTCTTGTATCAAAATTCGCTGTAGAATCCGTCGACCGATACCCATTTGCGTGGCACGTCGTCTGATCGATGTCGACAGCGCTTCCATGACATCCTGGGCTACAGCAGCAATACTCTCTGCAGAACGGATACTCCGGGCTCTGCCACGCCTGGCAGCATTTTTTGTTGTGCCAGTCTCTTTGAGGCGAGCGGCTAAACGTCGAAGTGTTTCCCTAGAAGGCGTTGGAAATCTGCGACAAAATTTACGTTGTGCCAATGTCACCGACCGATTATTGGTCAAATAAATGGTCACCAATATTCCTCGTTTTGGATCACTGTAGCGTAACATTGTTGATTAAAGTGTATTTCACATGTGTTTACTACAAAAATTTCAAAACTGTACCGTCATTAGGGACTCCGATGAGAAAACATTCGTTGTCCAGCAGTTTGTAAACAAAAAAAAAAAATATCGTGTTTACTTGCCAAAGAGGTCAGCTGAAAATGTGTACCTTCGGTTGGCTACCAGAACTCAAGCGCCGGCCATGGTGATGGTGTGGGCCGCCATAACAGCCGATGATCGCTATCTGCTTGTATTAATCGCCCGTGGCAGCAGATTGCCGAATATTATGGCGAAAATATTCTGGAGGGTGTATTAAAGCTTGGGCACACAAACATTTTGGCCGCAGACCTTGGACATTCCAACAGGACTAAGCACCATCGCACTCAGCAGGCGCCACCCAAGAATGCTTACAAAGTGAGGTTCCTCGCTTCATTTCTAGCGCACAATGACCACCAAAATCTCCGGATACCAAACCGTTGGACTATTGTGTCAGGAGTATTTTAGAAAGCAAGGTTGGCACTAAAAAGTGTTGATCACCTCAAGTAAGCCCTTCGCCGGGAATGGACCAAAATAACTCAGAGCGAAATTCGGGTAGTATGTGACGGTTTTTTTGGTCGTTTGAAGGCCATAATTCGAGGCCAAATTCGAACAAATCTAAACTTATTCTAAAATTTGATGCTATTTCCGACATTTTTTGCTTTCATTCAAAAACAATTTAAAAAATATGTAAAAATTATGGCGTTTGACTTTGCTGCAACTTTTTTTATCTCACCCTGTATATTAATTAAGATTTAAGGCAAAAAGGATAAAAATACCTTATTTGAGAAAAAAATATGTCAGGTATTCAAATATTAGTGAGAAAAATTTACATAGATTTATTATTTTAGAGAATAGAATATTATATTTCCTGCGTTTGGTATATTAAATGTTTTTAATGCGGTTCGATATATTCCCTTAGTATTTTATTGGACTCCTCCAATTATGGCTTATAAATTTCCTACCAAACACAACAAAAAAATTCTTTATTTTTGGCTGTATTTCTTGAACATCCTGTTAAATGTAAAGTTAAAACATTTGGCGTATTTTTTTCAAATAGCTTGGAATTAAATCTCTTCAATGCAAATGTCACAGTACAAAATGGTACAATATCACATGCTCAACTTTTGGACACATTGCCGAATGAAGAAGCGTTGCGAGACAGTGAGGTGGCCGATAAGATTCTCAAAACATCGCTATATATTTACAATAGCAAATGTGCACCAAATGGACTATCGGGAGAGCGATGTGAAGTGATTCTCAGTGACAAAGATTTACCACAAAGCAGCGACCTTAGGATGGAATGTGAAAGAGTTGTAGAAAACAGACGCGATGCTCATTATCCATTTCGACGATTACTGCCACGTCACTACACCGATGGATTTTATAATGTAAAACAAATTTGAAAAAAAAAATCCAATGTAATATTAGTAATGAAAAATATTTTTCACAGATGTATTCGGAGAACTTACCCAAACCTTTGAGCATTAGCAAGGAACTGTGTGAAAATGCCATTGAAAAGAAGCCCGTCGGCAGAAATGATCTAACCTTGGCTGTGGTGCAATGGGCCCAATTTGTTTCCTCGGATTTGAGTAAAACTGTTGTGACATCGATGAGTAAGTTTCTAAAGGTGTTCCCATCAAATACTTCATTTAAAAATTCAAAATGTTTTTTCCCTGAAAAAGGTAATGGAGCCCCAATTGAATGCTGCAGCAATCAAAACTATCGAATACAACCACGTCATTATCATCCTGCATGTGCTCCTCTATTAAGGGAGAACTCAAATAATCGCTATGGCGTGGCAACTTGTTTGAATTATGTTCGCAGTGCTTTAGCGGTGGGAAATAGTTGTACTTTTGGAGCTCCAGAACAGGTGAGTAGGAGCCTGAAATCTTCAGTAGAAGAGCCTGAGATCTTCAATATAAGAGCCTGAGATTTTCAATAGAAGAGCCTGAGGTCTTCAATAGAAGAGCCTGAGGTCTTCAATAGAAGAGCCTGAGGCCTTCAATAGAAGAGCCTGAGGTCTTCAATAGAAGTGCCTGAGGTCTTCAATAGAAGAGCCTGAGGTCTTCAATAGAAGAACCTGAGGTCTTGAATAGAAGAACCTGAGGTCTTCAATATAGGAGCCTGAGGTCTTCAATGGAAGAGCCTGAGGTCTTCAATATAGGAGCCTGAGGTCTTCAATAGAAGAGCCTGAGGTCTTAAGCTTAAGGCCTTCAATAGAAGAGCCTGAGGTCTTCAATAAAAGAGCCTGAGGTCTTCAATGGAAGAGCCTGAGGTCTTCAATAGAAGAGCCTGAGGTCTTCAATAGAAGAGCCTGAGGTCTTCAATAGAAGAGCCTGAGGTCTTCAATAGAAGAGCCAGAGGTCTTCAATAGAAGAGCCTGAGGTCTTCAATAAAAGAACCTGAAATCTTCAGTAGAAGAGCCTGAGGTCTTCAATAGAAGAGCCTGAGGTCTTCAATAGAAGAACCTGAGGTCTTCAATAGAAGAGCCTGAGGTCTTCAATAAAAGAGCCTGAGGTCTTCAATAGAAGAACCTGAGGTCTTCAATAAAAGAACCTGAGATCTTCAATAGAAGAGTCTGAGGTCTTCAATAGAAGAGCCTGAGGTCTTCAATAGAAGAATCTGAGGTCTTCAGTAGAAGAGCCTGAGGTCGTCAATAGAACAGCCTGAGATCGTCAATAGAAGAGTCTGGGGTCTTCAATAGAAGAGCCTGAGGTCTTCAATAGAAGAGCCTGAGGTCTTCAATGGAAGAGCCTGAGGTCTTCAATGGAAGAGCCTGAGGTCTTCAATGGAAGAGCCTGAGGTCTTCAATATAGGAGCCTGAGGTCTTCAATAGAAGAACCTGAGGTCTACAATAGATGAACCTAAGGTATTCAATAGAAGAGCCTGAAGTCTTCAATAGACGAGCCTGAAGTCTTCAATAGAAGAATATGAGGTCTTCGAAATAGGTTCGGCCACATATTTTTTTTGGAGATCGAGCGTAGCTTCGGCTGTGCAGCCTACAGCGCCGCCCTGTTGAAACCAAATGATGTCTATATCTCCTCTTCAATTTTTGTGACCGAAACTCGTTCAACGTGTCCCAAAAACATAAAGGACATTCCTATCTCATTTGCACTGACTGCTTTCTTCGTTTCTTCCAATTTTTACAGCTCAATCAAGCTACCGCCACTTTGGACATGTCACCTCTTTATGGGTTTACCGAATCAGCACGACGTCGGGTACGACTTTTTAAAAATGGCTTGTTAAAATCGACCAATGAGGAGCGGGTTGGTGAATCTTTACTGCCCCTGGTAACAACAGAGGCTCATCATTTTTGTGCCCACCGACAGAACAATAGTACGACCTGTTTTATGTCCGGTGATTCCAGAGTGAATAGCAATCCATTCAGCATTACCCTGTACACGATATTTATGCGTAACCATAACCACTTGGCTATGGAGCTGAAAAAAGCCCACCCACAATGGAATGATGAGAAATTATTCCAATATGCCAAGACCATAAATATCGATACATATCAAAAGATTGTGTTCAAGGAATGGTTAGTTAAGGTCCTAGGGAAGGGTATGGCAAATGAAATTGAAAAGGAACAGCAAAAGTCCCATAGAGATAAAGCGGAACCTCGGATAGAAGTATCCAATGAATATGCCATAGCTGCTTCCCGTTTCTATTTGTCGATGATGCCTAATGCTTTGCAAAAAACTAGTACATTGGGTAATGAAACGCCCACGGATATTTTCACGCTGAAGGATCAACTGTATAATATGAATATAAGCTATACCTCACAGAAACTTGATGAAATTTTAGACGCTCTTCTCTGGCAAAGGACCATGCGTATGGATAATTCATATGTGGACAGTGTAAGTGCAAGACATTTTTGAAAAATAGAAGCTAATTAAAAAAAGAGATTTTTTCCAGCTTGTTTCCAATTCTACAAAACGTCCAACACACAGCGATGCCTTAGCTTTTGATATCCAACGTGGTCGGGATCATGGCCTCCAGCCGTATTATAAATACTTGGAAGTTTGCAGCAATGTGAAAATATCTCAATGGAATGACCTAAGGCAATTTATTGAAAATGAGGTAAGGAAGATTAGTCTTTAAAAATATAAGTAAAAAAGCATTGAGTTCGGCCGGACCGAACCGAACTGAATACCCTACACAATTTACGAGAGTTTTGCAAATTTTCAAAAAAAAAAAACTTTGAAAAATGCTGATAAAATCATCAAAATATCGAATATAGGAAGTTATATTGGGCCTATGCGAAGACGAGGACCGGTAATTGAAATTTTCGTCGAAGGCTACTACGTTTGAAAGAATTCCGGGGTAAAAAAATCGCTAAAATCAGCAAAATACCGAATATAGGGAGGTACCTTTATATAGAGGCCATACGAAGATAAAATTTTACTTAGATGTGTGTATGTATGTGCAATTTTCGGAACTTCAAATTGCAAATTTGAAACATTTCCCATGAAAGATGTGACACAAATCATCAAAATACCGAATATTTGGAGGTACACTTATATGGGGACTATATCAAAACTTAGACCTACATTAACAGTTCTATTCAAGGATGTTTCTTACATAATGGGGACATATGCTGTCAATTTACAGCAAATTTGGGCTAAACTTCTGACTAAATCAGTCGAAAAAACCTTAAATCTTTCGGCACAGTTATATGAGGGCTATACCAAAACGTGGCCTTATATAGTCCATTTTCAATACCAAAAGTCCTGCAGAAAAAACACACATCTAAGTAAAATTTTATCAAGGTACTTTATTTCGTTCGGAAGCTATAGTGCTTTCCACAGACGGTCCATTTTTAATACCAAAAGTCCTGCAGAACAAACACACATCTAAGTAAAATTTTATCAAGGTGCTTTATTTCTTTCGAAAGCTATAGTGATTTCCACACACGGACGGGTATTAATCGTCATAGAATTTTATGCCGATCAAGAATATGTGGGTTCTAAAATGTATATATATTTCGAGGTGTTACAAACGGAATGACAAACTTAATATACCATCCATACCATGGTGGAGGGTAAACAAAAAATACACTAGACAACGGTCCATTATTAGGTCTGTTTGTTAAGTATTTGTTAATGGTTGAAATGACCCTATCTACAGTCTAGTGACAATTTATTAATTCTGCGTTTTTTTTCAGGATATTGAAAAACTAAAAACTGTCTATCGAAATTGGCAAGACATTGATTTAATTGTTGGTGGCATATCAGAAATTCCAGCCAAGGATGCTGCTGTGGGTCCAACATTCCAATGCATTATTGGTAAGTATTTCGTTTACATTTTTTTGGAAAAAAGTGATATCATTTTCAACATTTTCAAGTTTCTTTTAATTTTGAGTCAAAAATTATCAATGTAAAGCGTGTATTTTCGGCACCCCGCACATGTTTTGATACGTCTTTTATTTGATACGTCTTTTAAGTTTTGCAATTTCCTATTCGTACGATTTTAAAATTACCCATTTTTTATCTCACCCTGTAAATGGTTTCCAAAATATGCAAAAAACTGTACCCTTTTCGACGACTATAGTCGTCCATTTACAGGGTGAGATAAAAAAAAACTGCAACAAAGTCAAACGCCATAGTTTTTACTTTTATTAAATGAAAGTAAACAATGCCGGAAAGAGCATCAAATTATAGAATAAACATAGATTCGTTCGAATTGCTCACCTTTGGCACGAATTATGGCCTTCAAACGGCCAATGAAACCGTCACACGCTGCCCGAAAGTTGTTCTGCGATATTTTGGCCCACTCCCGGCGAAGCGCTTGCTTGAGGTGATCGACACTTTGGTAATTTTTAGTGCCAACCTTGCTTTCCGAAATACTCCAGTCACAATAGTCCAATGGATTGGTATCCGGAGATTTGGTGGCCATTATGCTCTGAAAATGAAACGAGGAACCTCATTTTGTAGCCATTCTTGGGTGACGCGTGCTGAGTGCGATTGTGCTGAGTCCTGTTGGAATGTTTGCGTGCCCAAGGCTTTAATACACCCTTCAGAATATTTTCGCGATAATATTCGGCATTTATTCTGATGCCACGGACGATTAATACGAGCGAAGATCGACCATCGGCTGTTATGGCGGCCCACACCATCACCATGACCGGCGCTTGAGTTCTGGTGGTCAACCGAAGGTGTACATTTTCAGTTGACCTCTTTGGCAAGTAAACACGATTATTTTGTTCGTTTACAAACTGCTGGACAACAAATGCTTTCTTATCGGAGAAAACCAAATTCGGCAGTTCACCACTTTCGGCCAAGCGAAGCAACTCTTTAGCTCTTTTGTTTTTTTCTTTTGCGGTGAAAGTTCTTGCACTTTTTGCAATTTCAATGGATTTACCCCGAGATCAATTTTTAATATTTGCCGAATGGAATATTGCGACATGTTCAACTTACGAGCCATTTTTTGGGCCACTGCGACGCGGGTTTCGATCAAGTCGCTCCTTTACTTTTCGAACCATTTCTGCTGATGTTGCTATTTTCTTCCGTCCACTTCCTTGACGTCGGGCTACGCTACCAGTATCACGGTAACGAGCGATGGTACGAAACACAAAAGATTTACTCACATTTAAATGCTAGAGTGCTCTAACGATAGCCACTTGAGGTTTTCCAAAATAAAGAAATCACACCATCACAAATAACTCTTTTTCTGGAAAATTCTCACAAAAATGCTTTTGTACGCTTGTAAACAATATAATGAGCTGTCACTGAAATAATTTTAACAGCTGTCGGACGAGTGGCTTAGAAATGACAGCAGTCTAAAGTTGGTTGCAGTTTTTTCATTTCACCCTGTATAATATACTATAAAGCGTTTCCTTTTAGATAACAAGTTGTGTGAAACGCCTTAAAGTATGTTATAAAAATTCTTAACATAAATCAAGAAATATCTAGTGTACACATGATTCTCACATTATGTGTATACTAGCCTTGAGTACGATAAATTCTTTTCACGTCATTATTTAAGTCAAAGATCAGTTTTTTTTTTCATTCATCATAGCCCCTGATTGAAGGAAATTGCGTTTAAACTAATTGCTTTATTCTGTGTCATACAATGTTTGTTTTTTTTTTTTCAATCCAGTTCTGGTATTTGTATTTATTTCCTCACCGGTAGACATGTTTGTACAAGATATTATTTATCTAAATCTTAATGGGTTCTCATAATATCGAATTTCAATTTAATTTACTAAATGTTTCCTAACATCTACAAATCACAGCTAGAAGAAAATGAAGAAAAAAGCAACACTGCAACACAAACATTGCAAAATGTGACTCAGTAAAGAAAAAACAAACGTACATTTTATTAATTGACAAATACACAATTAAATTATGATCTCTCGAAAGGAACTCACTAAATGTAGTGACAAGTTTAATTAATAGTATATTGAAAGTACAGTGAGCGCCGTTAAAAGGTTCAGGAAGACGCCATAGTCGAAAGGCAGTGGATTAAAGTGTATGGGTTTTTTTAAAAAAATATTTCTGAAGGCCCCTAAAACTTGGATTTTTACCCGCATATTTTTAAGAAAATAAAATAGCCGGTATATGAATTTTTAATGGATCCTAAATCCTATGATTAGGTCTTTTTGTAAATATTTTAAAGGCTCCTTAAGGCTAAAGAGAGGTTTTAAGCTATATCCATAGACTGCTTAAGGAATGCATTTTTAAGAATATTTAAAATGTTTTACAGATTTAATCAAACATCCCTTTAAGGCTATAATTTTAAATTATATTTAGAATATTTTTTTTTTAGAAAAATATAAAAGTTCCATTTTTATTTAGAAAACTTTTAAAGAACGCTGAAAGTAATAATATTTTTTAGGGATATTTATTGTTATACTCTTGGACTGCACTTGGACGATTTTTACATGACTAGTAAAGCTATAACTTTCGACTTTTTAAAGAATATTTTTAAATGAAGGACAATTGAGGTCTTAATCTGCAGTTTGGAAGATCTAGCAAAATTTATGGTGGGCCCAAACCATTAAAACAGAGGGTCGTTTCTTTATTTTGAAATTCATAGTAAAGTTGAAATTAATCTTAGACTCCTTAAGCAATGTCTTTCCCAATGATACTGTCCTCTGAACAACGTTTGCTGTTGCAACAAATAGTTATTTAGAGGGTGAGATGAAAAACCTCCAACCAAATTCAGACTGCTGTCGTTTCTAAGCCACTTGTCCGACAGCTGTTAAAATTAATCCAGTGACAGCTTATTATATTCTTTATAAGCGTAAAAAAGCATTTTGATGAGAATTTTCCAGAAAAAAATTTATTCGTGATGGAATTCAAGCGTGATAGTGTGATTTCTTCATGTTTGGCTGGAAAACCATAAGTGACTATCGTTAGAGCACTCCAGCATTTAAATGTGAATAAATCTTTTGTGTCTCGTACCATCGTTCGTTACCGTGATACTGGTAGCGTAACCCGACGTCAAGGATGTGAACGGTAGAAAACAGCAACATCAGCGGAAATGGTTCGAAAAGTAAAGAAGCGACTTGATCGAAACCCCCGTCGCAATGGCCGAGAAATGGCTCTTGAGCTGAACATATCGCAATATTCCATTCGGCAAATATTGAAAAATGAGACATTGAAATTCCAAAAAGTGCAAGAACTTACACCACAACAGAAAGAAAATAGACTCAAAAGAACTAAAGAGTTGCTTCGCTTGGCTAAATGTGGTGACCTGCCGAATTTGGTTTTCTCCGATGTGAAAACATTCGTTGTTCAACAGTTTGTAAACAAACCAAATAATCGTGTTTACTAGCCAAAGAGGTCAGCTGAAAATGTGTACCTTCGTTTGGCCACCAGAACTCAAGTGCCGGCCATGGTGATGGCGTGGGCCGCCATAACAGCCGATGGTCGCTCTCCGCTCGTATTAATCGACCGTTGCATTAGAATAAATGCCGAATACTATCGCGAAAATATTTTGGCCTTGGGCACGTTAACACTTTGGCCGCAGACCTTGGACATTCCAACAGGACTCAGCGCCATTGCACACAGCACGCACCACCCAAGAATGGTTACAAAATGAGGTTCCTCGCTTCATTTCCAGCGCACAATAGCCACCAAAATCTCCGGATACCAATCTGTTGGACTATTGTGTCTGAAGTATTTTGGAAAGAAAGGTTGGCACTAAAAAATACCAAAGTGTCGATCACCTCAAGCAAGTGCTTCGCCGGGAATGGGCCAAAATATCGCAGAGCAACATTCGGGCAGCGTGCGACGGTTTAATTTGCCGTTTGAAGGCCATAATTCGTGCCAAAGGTGACCGATTCGAACAAATCTAAACTTATTCTTAAATTTGACGTTATTTCCGACATTATTTGCCTTTATTCAATAACATTAAAAAAATGTGAACATTTTGGCGTTTGACTTTGTTGCAGTTTTTTATCTCACCCTGTATATCTACGGACTTCTTAAGGAATACATTTTTAAGAATATTTAAAATGTTTTAAAGATGTTATCAAGGATTTCTTAGGGAATACTGTTTTCAAGAATAACTTGAAAACAAGTAAGCAAAGGCTACAGTCGAGCGGGGCCGACCGTTGAATACCCTACAACACTATAATAAATGATACAGTTTATATAGGCGAGATACTCGAAAGAATTCCACAAGATATTGTGACAAATAATAACAGAAAACCATCAGATTTCGTTCTCTAATTTTCGGATAATAGCAACTTAAACTAATTTGCTCATTTCCAATTTATTGGTAGATGTTGCACGTAAATGGTCCTTTCAGATCTGGAACCAATATTTCCCAAAGACCTATAATCTCTCAGAAGTGGCAAAAGATTAACATTTATTATTGGTTTTTGACTGAAACGCATCTATATAAGATACAGCCATTTGACTATATTCTTCAACGAAATCAGCCTTAACGAAATAGTCAGAAGTGCGTCTTTCCTGCATTTATGAATTCTCCAAAAAGTCGCTGGAATGGACATTTTCGTATTTTGTCTACAAAAGTTGGCAAACTATTTCACACATTGAATATTTTTGGATGGCCTTCCAAAACTATTTGGCTTTTGCAATGTCCGGTAACCTCCATTCAAATGCACGTGAGGATCAAGCGATAATTACGACTTGCTGACAATTTTGCAGCTTTTTGTCCGTTTCAACCCCTAAATATATGGCGATTATCTCCAAAAAGAATAGGCTTCTATTCTGACCCTCATCTTATCCCCATGCAAAATTTCATAAGGATCGGGCCATAAATGAGATCTGTATATGATATCCTCAGATCCTAGCTACTTAGTTTTGTTAGCTGT